TTGTGCCTTAGTCACACTTGTGCGCCGTTCTGAACCATCAGATCTAAGGTGGACTCAAAAATGTTTGAAGTTAGAAATTGCCCAGCTGAGCTTCCGCAACCCTAATTAGACCAAACATATTCGGACATCAGCTTTGAGGTTCTGAAATGTTCTGAAGACCAGTGCAACCTGGACTGAGAACCGAACATATCAAACGAACCACCAGCTGATCTGATTGACGGACTCTTTTGGCCGCTTCTTCCCAGAACGGCCGCCGCGGCCGCTGGCCTTGCGGCTTCTGTCAGGGCAGTTGCCTTTGAGGACAAAGTGTGGAACAAAGGGCCGCAGAAAGCAGTGAAAGCAGTGTCGCACTGTTGGTCTGTGGCGCCAGACCTCACTCCAAGCACTCTTGGGGCGAACCCGCATTGAAAGCAGCAGAGTCTAGGGCACGGAACATGGCGGCAACCAAGGATGGAAAGCAGCCGGAAGGAACCAGCTCGGGAGCCGCGCCTGGCATTCGACGTACGCATGCAGCGGCCCAGCTTGAAAGGCAGAGCTGCGGCGACGTGACCTTTTTGGTCTCCCGGAAATCCAAACCTCTTAAGGAGGATGGTGCCCTGTACCGAGAGAGAGAGAGAGAGAGAGCTCATTCTTTTGAATATGGTGCGTCCTCGAAGTGAACATGAAACCTCATGAAGACCTCATGACCTCAAGGCTCGGCTCGGTCAAGCCTCGAGGGTCCGCAGGCGACGACTCTTAACAAACCCTCCTCAAGGGCTGCGGGGGCTGCGGGGGCTGTGGGGCGATCATCTGGGCTTCAACCAGCGTGCCACGAACACTTCGTGGCCCTCCCCCTGCTCAAAGTCCACTCTCGGCCCACTCTCGGTGGGCCCACCCCGTTCCCAAAATAGCTGGGAATCCGAAAAGGAACAGGTGGGAATCAGCCTCACCCTCACCCCATGCGACGGTCAATGGTCTGCAGGTTGCACGTTCGTTCCTCACACCGCCGTGGGCTTAAGGACTTAAGGACGATCCCAACAGCCTGAGCAGTTGAACGTTGCACTTATCTCCCCTCTGCACCAAACGGCTTCGCCACGAAGAGGTGTCCGGGAATGCCTCTGGAGCCTCAATCTAATTCTTCGGATGGACCCGGCCTGGACTGAGTGTGGCTGTGGGCCCTTCCTCCCGCGCCACCTTATGGTCAGACCCCCCCTTGTCGGGCCCCTCTTTTTCCCCGCAGACCTTAGTGAGGACCAGCCTGTCCCTTCCGACATTACGGCCAATTCGGTGTTTCTTCCGATTCCATCGGCACTGGTTCTGATGCAAGGGTCGTCGGGCAACCCACGTTCAATTGTAGCCCCCTTGGGGGTCAAGCGTCTGCAATCTCGCTGAAAGGGAGGTTCAAGTCGAGCGGACAGGAGGACAGCACCTTCTCTGCTCATGGTGTGCAACAGACACGAGAGAAGTGGCCCAGGACTGCAACGGCCGTGAGTAGAGCCGACTCATGTCCAACATCTATGAAATCTGTGCGGCAGAAGCAGTATGGAGGCTTCCAGTCGAACTGCAATGGAATCAATACAGTCACTGTCTGCGCAGGCAGCACCGCGCTCAAGCACCTGCATCTGTCCTGAATGTCGAGAATTTGAGGTAGCGCAGCATCTGTGCTTGCTGGTGCGAGCTGATAGCGCGCGTGCTCATGCAACTGATGTCGTAGGCATCTGCTGACAGCTCTGCATCACGCAGCATGCGTGGTCACTAAGTTTTACGATTCTCCGGCCTTCTGGCCATGTGTGTTGGCCCATCTACGAAGGAACCCAACAAATCGAGCTGCGGCGTAGTTCCTGACGGACTGTTGCTCGCTGTGGGCCTGGAGCCTTGCGTGTGCTCGCTCGTTGCAAAGCGTGCTTCCGCCTGGATTCCAGGGGCCAAACCAACCACTCAGAGTGCCTCCATCTACAGCGCTGTCCGATTGCTGCAGGGAGCATGTGTGGCTCGGTATGAAACGACAACGTGCGCTCGTGCAGCGGCGATATCAGCGACTGCTGCAACAACTGATGCCAGAAGCATCTGCTGACAGCTGTGCATCACGCAGCATGCGTGGTCACTCATCGTTACTCTTCGCTGGCCTTCTGGGCCCATCTAGCAGGGAGCCTGCCAAGTCGGGCGGCATAATAATTGAGGGATTTCTGCTCGCTGTGGACTTGGAGCCTTGCGCTTGCTCGTACCTTACAAGGCGTGTTTCCGCCTGGATTGCAGGGGCCAAACAAACCATCATTCAGAGGGCCGCCCGCCGTGAGTCGAACAACAGTGCCACCGTCCACAGCACTGTCCGATTGCTGCAAACTCAAGGGCTGCTGCGCGAAGCACGCGTGCGAGGCTAGTGGTGGAGGCTTCCAGGCCAAAACTGCCTCCACGATGCCCTGTACGAGGCCGTTTGGTTTTAGCTTAAAAAACCCTCTGTCGCTGAGCTTGACCGAACTCCTGACTGCTGTCCCGACCAGGAGCCGTGCCATTGACCCAGGAACGCTCACCTGAGAACAGTACACGTGTCACGTGCTCTGTGCACACTCGAAACAAAACTTTCAGATCACGTTCATCCAGCGCTCTCAGGGCCGGACCTGACATCTCTGTGTGCTGGGTTCTGGCTATTCAAACGCTGGCATATCGCAGGGCACCCTTTATGTCTCAAGGCCTTGAGCAGCAAAGGACCAGCACGTCGCATTCACTCACATTGAGGCGAAGCAAACACATGCGCCGCGTCCCCGGCAGCTGCCCCCACGCCCCCCCCGTCCTAACCATTGTGTGCGACAGGAAGAGCATGCCGTTTTGTTTCAACGCACACAAGCAAAATCATACGGCGCAGCTAAATACACGAAAAACAAAACAATGCAATTCAATGCAGACGGCAAAACTAGAGCCGGCAATCGCAAATACAGGTAAAACCGAAAAACAATAGAAGACAATGCGTACGAAAAGAAACAACGCAAGACCCCCCAAAAAAGCAAACACACACACACACACACACACACACGGATCAGGTGTAATTGCCGCTAGATTTTGACAAAGTGATTCCGCGCTCGTCTGTCATACTTTGTCTAGTATCATGGCACACTCAATGCTGTAGGGTCAGACATGCAAGGTACCTGTGCAAACGAGCCATCACTCAAAACTGAACATGGCAACTGTTGCCTATACCTCTCACTGCACATGTCCTAATGCAAATATGCTGATCATGCTGATCCACCAGCTGCTTCAATCCTTTAAAAATGGCAGCGCTGAAGCACCTGTGCCAAAGAGCCTATCAAAAAGGTAGGCAAAAGGCGGCCGACAAAGTGTCCGTCCCAAGAAACGGGAAATGTGCGGTGGTGGCCAGAAGTGTGTGCCTAACGTCTACCGCAAGGCCAGCTGTATGTCAGCATCAACCAATGTAGACCCGGGGATTTGCCTGGAGGCTGAACGTGTCAGGGCGGCGCTGAAGGCTCTGTGCACGCCAGAGTGAGGGCAAGGGAGAGCAAGATGGCAAATCAATCCCAAGGCGGGCCGGCAAAAGACTTTGACACGACTTCGAGAAAATCGAGTCTCCAAATAGCTTGAGCGGGGCTCAATGTAGCACATGTTCAAGAACAGGAGAGCGCATTCTTCGCGGTATCGTTCAAAGTTGGCCAGGGACCGTGGGAGCGTATTCTTGATATGTCCCTGGTAAAACCCAAAGTGATATTGTCCAAAGTTGGCCAGGGAAAGGAGGAAGCATATTCTTCATGTGTCCCTGGCAAAATCCAAAGGGAACGGGGGAGAGTTGTCAAAGTCAAAAGAAGTTACAAGGGAATCTGTAGGCTGTAGGCCAATCTGCAACTTGCAAGCCAGCTGACAGTGGATGGTTTCTTATATCTTCCAAGGGGCTTGAGCGTGACATGTAGGATCGCGGATGTGTTGGGTCAAACTGGAAGATCGTGCATCAACAGCAGAAACTGGTGTCACATTCGGTATGTAAAGAAAGGCAGGTGAACGGAGAGTAAGAAGGCGCAGCCCCATTCGCGCGGTCAAGTATATTCAACCTCAGGGAAGGAGAACAAGAAGTTTGCAACAGTTCGGCGCCAGCCGTGTCTGGAAACGTGCGTTCGAACCAGCCGGTATCGCGCACGGCGCGCTTGCCAAGAAGCCAAAGAGATCGCCATTGTCAAGAAGGAAAGGCGGTCGCCAAGAACCCTAAACCCTAAACCCTAAACCCTAAACCCTAAACCCGACGCCAGCACCACATGGTCGTGTGGAGAGGTCGGGCGCTGCGATGTACTTCACGCTCTTTTCTTTCAAACCTTTGAAAAATTGGAAGGGAACAAGGACAAGCGTGGTGCTATGGTAGTAGCCAAGGGAGCAAGGGATTCTTCATGCAAGATCATGCAAGCAGCTACTGCAACCCGAGGTGAATCTGTTCCGAAACTGTGCTGTCAAGCTACACACACTCTGGAAACGGAGCGTCTGCCATCGGACAAGCAACACCGCAGAACGAATCACAGCATGTCACCACCCGCATCAGATTCGGGCACGTGGCAGAGTGCTGCGCCGACCGCTGCAGGAACTTTAATGCTACAGAAACTGCTACAATGTGGGAATGCTCCAGGTTTTCACAACCCTGAAACTGAAAGCTTCAGAAGCTCCCTTCCTAGGCACTGGAGTCACTGGATGATAGGTGGGGTCCCGAGGGTGGGTTCATGAGTCCGTTAATGAGAGGATCCCGGGGTCTTGAGCTGAGTGGAGAACCTGATGGTGGGGTCACGAGGGCGGTTCCTTGCAAGTCCATACCCCATGACACCAACTGATAGACAAAGAGCGCACAGCAACGAGAGAGGTGATCTGCCTTGGAATGTTTGCTTCAGGGGGAGGGGGGAGGGAGGGGACGGACCAAGCTCGCATTTTTGAAAAATACATTAAGCAATCAAACGCTTTACTGGCAACGGTAGTTCCGAGAACGATTTTCCCGTGAAGCAGCGTCGAGTCTGATGTTCGAGGTGAAACAATGGACATTAACTTGTTACAACGTCCGCTGCGCCTTCATCTGCTTTGTCGTACATGTACCTTGCAAAGCTCAAGTTCAATGCCAGCCAAGTGCTTGCAACCTTCAACGAGCCTGCTGAAGTGTTGGCAATTCCAGCGCGAAAGCTCGTAATTCCTCTCTTTGACATCATCCCAGTGAGCCTGGACCTCAATGACACTAGATTTAAAGAGTTCAGGTTCATCTTCTCGGGCAAGCACTCATCGTGTGATGTCTGATGACTACATGAGCAACGTTTCCAACCTCGGTTGGAGTCAAGCGAGCGCACCACTTCCTTTCCAGGACGTCGCCGTTGGGACATGGGTCCTTCGCGGCAGAATGAGCTAAGGAACCCAAGTCTTAAGTGACCTGAGGTGACGTGTGGTCGTTGCGTCAAGAAAGTGAATGCAGCCCTCACCGCCTCGGGGCTGTCATGAAAATGCAAGCCGTCTCGGCCCCAGTCTAGCCTCAGGCACGTGTCTGCAACACACATTGAACGCATCATGTCAGTGCAACCCAGTGCATCCCAGTGCAACCACAAGCCTAGCGGAGACATCTGCAGTTCCAAAGCTGAGGTGCTTCAGGCTCATCAACCGTCTACCATCCAGGTACTCGTACACAACTGTGTGGTGATCGATGGTTCCTGGGATGGCGTGAGCAAAGATTGGCCCAAAGCCTCGAGAAGCCTTCTGGGATACTAACCGCCAAGGAAAGGATCTCGCCAGATCGCCACGTGACGAAACCTCCGTGTGGCAAGCTCGCCATACTCCACTGCGTGCAAGCGACGCTGTGTTCATGTCTCCAGCGCAACAGGCACAACGCTGGTCTGTGCAGGCCTCAAGTTTCTGGAGCTCATGGATTCCAAATGCCTCGGTATGCGATCAGACCAGCTCCTCAATCCAGGCTGCCGCGGTATCCTCCCGACATAACAGCCCTTAAATGCCTTCTCGAGCTGAGGTGCGGCGGCAGCTTTCCGCGCATGTCAGGTCCAACACCCGCGAGAACTGCTAGGGCGAGACAGCAAACAAAAACAAAACAAAAACGAAAACCAGCGCGCCCTCTCTGTGCCTGACTCGAGGGTGGGACCAGGGGAAGACAGCTCGGCTCCCATGGTTGGAGTGGCTCCAAGTAACGTGCAGTTCACTGAAACTGAAACAAACTCTATGTCTATATACGCAAATGTAGATACTTTAATGTACGTATATATATATATGTATATACATACGCATATGAATACATGTATCTGTTGACAAATACATGGGCTTTTTCTCCAGGAGACTACTCGCAAAATATATTGGCCGTGTTGGGCATGCATCTCCAAAAGCTCGATATGTGGGGCATTCTTGAATATTGATGTTGAGCGACAGATGCGGCAACCTCAGGCCTGATTCGTGTAGAACATGACAACTGACAGCCAGATGGCTACTGACTCGACACGCTTCATCGCACTGGACGTGCTGGCAGCGAGAGTCTGGGAAGTCGATGGCGTCTTGGGGGTCATCCTCGGCCACTGTGAACGTCATCCACCCTAAACCCTAAACCCTAAACCCTAAACCTGAAGGATGCAGCTCGAGCCTTCGAGGCGGAACATACTGCAGCGAGCAAGGCATCCATGGGAGCAGGTAGTGAGCAATCGTAGCTTGATTGCCAGTAGTTTTGGGGTAGGATGCGCGGGAACACGAAGCACAGCATGCCTGAAGCAAGGAAGGAATCCACGGTAACGGGCAGCACCGAAGCATGTGCGGGGCTTGACTTTCTAGAAACTGATGCCAGGCCCTCTAGGCAGCGCGAGGAACACCCTGCTTGCAGCAAGCAAGGAGCTCATGATATCAGGTAGCGCCCGAGCGTGCAGCTTGATCGCCTCCCATCATGTGGTGGCACAGGTGTCCTGGAAGCATAGACTGCTAAGAGGACGTTCCTGACCCCTTGCCCGCAGCTTGCTTTTCTCAAAAGGTAGAGCTTGTGGCGCATGATGCTTGTGCACGGCCTGCAGGCTCTGTGACCACAGCATCTTTCAGGCGGTGTTCATGACGCAAAGGCCATCCTTGTGCGTTTTGCCGCTAGCCTCTAGTTGTGGCTAGGTGTTGAGCCGAAGCCGGCGCAATGACGAAAGCGGCGGCCGTCAGTTTCAAGCATGGGAGCTGGTCCCCAATCAGGAGGCCCCTCCTGCAGCATAGGCTCGTCCCACTTCGGCTATCACGAGCTCTCAGAGCTCTCCTGCCTGGAGTTAGCCTGGGGACAAGCTAAACAAAATCTGTTAGATGCAGACCGCGACCGCCACCGTGGGAAAAACCAAGTGGTGACTCTTCAAGCCCCAATGCAGTGGTTCCAATACTTCGTCCGCACGTGCCCTGTCACCGAGACCTTTTCTGCCGAAGCTTCTCCGGGCATGTGACGCCTTTCTTGGTCTTCGCAGCTTCGGCAGAAGCCCAGCGATGCTTAATGATGTAGCTTGGAAATTGTATGGAGCGGGCTGGGGCGGCGTTGGAACTCAGCTTGGGTGATGCGGCTGAGGCTCGAACTGGGCTGTGAGGAGCCCATCTGCTGCAATCGCTGCACTTGCCCCCTCGAAAGTCTCTTGGGGCCGGGTTAGCCCGTTAGCCCTCGAAATCCTACTAGTAGCTGCTCCGACTGTCGTTACTGCTCCAGATCTTGCTTCTTGCTGACGACTTGGGCCCTGATCAGCAAAACGCCGAAAAACGCATGCATCAGCTGAAGCTGTAGCATTTTCTTTGTTTCCCAAAAGAAAACCACAGTTTGCAAAGTCACATGAAGGGAAACCTTGAAGTGTGGCACTTCGTCGATTCTCCGCTTGGCTGTCCACTCACGCGAATAAACATGTTGCTCAACCCTTGTGGTTGCTTGCAACCGTGCAAACGCCTGTTGGAAAACCAAAAGGCCCTGACTTGAGACCCTCTAATCGAAAAGCAGGCAAGGAGCCCCTCCTAACTGAACTTTAACCAGGAGGACTGTTCTTCCCAACCCTCTGAACAAAATCCTGGTTTTGCTTGACAGAAAACTGAAGAACATTGAAGAAGGCAGGTTCTGGAGGCAGGGTATATGGGTGCGCCCCGGCGCAGAACCCAGGAGCCGTGCCAATGAGTACAAGCGGCGTTGCTGCAACCAGCACAAGAATTGCGCGAGACAAGTCGCGTTGCCGCAACAAGCTCCGGACGTATGCCGCAGAATATGAAAGTTGTCGCTGACGATGAACAAGCTGCGCTGCGGCAGATCGGACACAGTGCTGGAGAGGCTGGCTAAAAATGAAGTTTTTGGAGTCACTGGTGAGGGAACTGTTGCGTCCCCGACCTCTACAGCAGGATTAACGGGATGAAGTTCCGAGCCAGAAAAGCAAAAGCTTATTATGAGAAGTGGCCAGTGAGCAAAAGGTCGAGTTGCCGAAAAGAATCATCTCCACCTTGACCGATCAAAGGTAAAATTGCGGTTTAGTTCGGTTTAGTGCGCCTGTGCTCTGAGAGCACAGCAACATCTGAATTTGGTTTATCCATGTTTGCGAACTTGGTAGAAAGTGATGTGCCAGGACAAGGCCAATGTGACCATTGGGGGATGTGAATGCGGGCAATAGCTGTGGTGCATACTTGTCTTCATGGCAACGCACACTTTTGGGTATCAGTATCAGTAAAAGGTCAATGTACCTACTATGCTCGAGAAGGGAAGTAAAGCGAGCAGTGCACCTGTGCCCTGAGAGCACAGCAAAATTTGGGTATAGAGTTTTGGCATCGAAGCTTGCTACACCTACTTTGTGGGAAGTGAGATGCCGTTAGAAGCCTTACAAAAGTCATAATTCATGTGGGGTGCTGGTCCCGAACTCCACCGGTCATTTCGGCCCTGTGGACGCGCCTACATGCAATGATGCGGACTCGCCTACAAGCAATGGTGGTTAGTTCAGGGTAATATCTTCTGGAGCTGCAACGGGCAGAGTTGCAAAGATCTGTCTGTGTAGGCTGTGTACAGTAGAAAAGAAGGTGGGCCGCTGCGAAGCCAATCCGCAGTTTTTGCTCGCTGCATTTGAATGTTTCCTCCCAGTTTGGGAGAGGGGGAGTGCGAAGGACTCAAAATAATTCCCGAAGCAAACATACCGGATGGCTACCGGCTCGGGAATGACGAACAGACCCAGCGCTGAGGGGTTTTCAACTTGAGGTTTGTGGTTTCCGGGGTTAGGCTTGGGCCGGGCGTGCCCAATCTGGATCCCCCTAGGCCCGGGTAGCCCTTCAGGTATTTTCGAAAAGTTGAGGGTCGGTTGTCTCTTAACTGGTGGTTTCAATATTGGAATTAGACCTTTCGGTTTCGTTCCTTCCACAGAGTCAGGGGGTCGTGAGGAGTTCGCACGACCTGTGTGACTACAATTGGGATTCGAACTCTTGAGTTGGTATGCGACGGACTCAGACGAGGCCAGGTTGCTACACCTATAGCCTGAGCTCTTGCTTTTTGTCCGGCTGCTCGCTCTTGCGGTCTGCATCTGCGTGTTCAGCTTGTCTCGCGTCGGCCTGCCGTCCGGGCTTGTGCTACCCCGCTACGCTGCTCTGGAAAAGCAAACGCCAGACAGCATATGGCAGCATGTGGCAGTTTATATATGGCATAGCTTCCCTTTGGCAAAGGTCGCCTCGCCGGCCGCGCACTGACAAAACACGCCTCGAAGTCACCAAAAGAAGAAAAGAACGGCACTCTGAGATTCTCCGTCTCCTGATGTGGATCCTCAGATCCTCATGGGACTGTTCTGGTGTAAGCCGTGTAAGCTTCCAACTGTGAGGTCCCGGTCCGACTCGCCGTCGACGCTTGCGCTCTTGATCCCTAGCGCACTTCCGACGCACAACGTTGCGCGCTAGAACGCCGAGTGCCCGTCCAACGAAGCTGCCAGCATGGCAGCGACTTGGCACAACTTGCGACTATTGAGCTCCTTGCGCACAGTAAGTGCGGCAGAAGTCCGTACCCCCAGGGCAAGCCTCCTGCCATGTTACTGCTAGTACTCATACGTCCACTTAAGGATCCAAGCTCTGGATATTGAACCAACAACATAAGGTGCTTGGAGAAACTTCGCTTGGCCGTGTGAGCCTTCCACGGTCGGATGCACTTTCCTGCACCTGACAAATTTCACCACGACTATCCCGGAAGGCATGCGGCCTTAAGTGATCACTCTGCTTCAATGCGGCAGCACTAAGCGAGCAAGCGGCGCCCTCGCACCAAACGAAGCCTGAACCAAGCTCTGACGTTCAAGTGGATTTGACGGGTCTGTCACCGTTGATTGGTCGCCATATGCTGCTTTGTCATACGTTCTCATGTGTACTCGATGTACAGGCTCGGAGACCACAAGTGTGTGCAAAAATAGGCTTCTGTTTTGCGAGCATACGTTAAAGGTTCGTATGATTCACATCTACGCCTGACGCGTATCTGGGTGGCTCTCTTCAATGCACTATGGGGGCGGCCTGCTGCTTGAAGGCACCCACGTTGATCACGATTCTGTCCGAGCGCGGAATCCTTCAGAACATCTGCCCCACAGGACTGGGGTTGAGGGTTTAGGGTTTAGGGTTTTAGGGCTTAGGGTTTAGGGTTTAGGGTTTAGGGTTTAGGGTTTAGGGTTTAGGGTTTAGGGTTTAGGGTTTAGGGTTTAGGGTTTAGGGTTTAGGGTTTAGGGTTTAGGGTGGCCTCCCAGATTTGGCGAACACTGTTCTGCTGGACATCTGGCCTCCCAGCTGCCAAGATGTGACAACATTGCAGGGTACGATGTGCAATCGCAGTTCTGCCCAGGGCTCGTGCGGCTTTGCTGCTGTGAGCCAGCAGATCAAACAGAATGCAGCCACAACCTACTGTCAGGAAGAGCCACATGCACCGAGGACGGCGCCACTGCACAAAAAGACTCGTAAATTCAGCATGGGCACCATGACGGCCAATGTCGGGCCCCACAGGCCAAAAGACGACTCTTGACCATAAAGCTGCCTCAGCACTGGCAGCAAATAGCACGCAGAGTGACATCATGTGACAATCTCGCGCAACAAGAGAGCCCTGAAACATGCCTCAATTAAACAGCTGAACTGGAGCACAGAAGTGTTTTGATCAGTCTGCAAAAGCCCAAGACTAAAAACAAAGCAACGGAGGAGAGAGACTCAGCGAGAGATACTAATATCAATGAAAAGAATAATAATAATAATAGTACATACATATATAATAATGATAAAGAATAATACTAATAACAATAAACATAATAACAATAACAATAACAATAATAATAATAATAATGAAAATAACAATAATAATAAATGTATAATAATGATAAAGAATACTAATAATAACAAAAATAATATAGTAATAATATAGGTTTTCTATAGTAGTCATATAATAATAAGGTAAGAATATAGTAATATAGTAATAATATAGCAATAATTAATATAGCAATAATATAGAAATACTCATAATACTAATAGTAATAATCATAATACTAATAGTAATAATCATAATACTAATAGGTTCCAGGGGTGAACCCGGCCCCTGCGTTTTAGTATTTTACGTAAGTACACGAAACGAAACCACGCGTTTGGATGTGTTCATGGCTGCGGATAGAGACAAGCAGAGTATATATGTGGTCTTTATTAAATACTTCAGACATCTTTGTTTCATCGTTATGTAAGTAGAACCGCGTCTATTTCCATTCTTGTGCATTTTAAGCTTGCTTATGCAAATTGTGCTTTTCAGACATAGTATATAAGTGGTCTTTATTGAATACTTCAGCAATCTTTGTTCCATTGTTATGTAGGTAGAACCGCTTCCATTTCCGTTAGTGTTTCTTTCGTATTTGGTTGAGTATGGTCCTTTAAATAGTACTCACTTGAGTCAAATTGGGCTATTTGCTTAAGAATTCCTCTAGTAATTCAATTCGCATAGCATGAATACTTCAAAAATATAAAATGTTTCATGAATATGTAAACATAAGGTATTTCATTTGACTTTGCAGATAGTATTTCAATAATACTTTGCCTGGTGTAAACACAGCCGTTTCAATGCATTAGTTGCTCAACAAAGCACTATTTGCCCTTCAGCTGGGTGACTTGAGACAAGGCGAAAAAGGGTAGGTCACTGGAGCCCCTGGAGCGTGTCGACATGCACGTCAGACACGACGCCGCTCACCTCAGACCGGATAAAAGTGCTAAAACGCAGGGGCCGGGCTCACCCCTGAAGCCTACTAATAATATAGTGACAATATAGTAATGATATAGTAATAATATAATAATAATAATATAGTAATAATATAGCAATAGTACAGTACTCATATCCGCCGACCCCAGCTTTGAGCGGGGGAGGCGCTAGTGAAGACCCCATGGCGTCGGCGTAACCCCGCACCTTAAGCTGACTTTAAAGGGCCCCAGTCCGTGCCCCGCCCTTCCCGCCCTTCCCGCCCTTCCCGCCCTTCCCGCCCCACTCCATGCCCGTCTCCTCCGCCCTTCCCGCCCTTCCCGCCCTTCCCGCCCGCTCCGCCCGCCATGGCTCATGGCCCCATGGCCCCACCCTAGAGATCAAGGGCCATATCTATTTTTCGTGCTGCGCCTGGTGGGGTTTTCTGAAAATAGATACTATCCATTTTTGGCGTTCTGCGCAAGCAAAAAAACAGTGCTTTTGCTGTGGCGGGAGCAAAATAGATTTTTGCATACGGTCCGACACAGTCCGTTTTTGTACAAATAGATACAGATAGATACGAATAGATACGAATAGATACGCTGAGATAAGATTAGATGCGTTTGGTAGCATAATAGATACGAATTTTAGATACTTTAGATACTCACCCAAAATACATATCTTTATAGATACGTTTAGATGCGTTTTTTAGATACGGGCGTTATAGATACGTTTCGATACGATGGTTGATAATGAGACGAGAAGGGAAGAAATTAGAATTATACATATCAAGATAGACAGAACTGTGTATGTGTATATATTTATATAGCTTAAGCTTGAACATAAACAAAGGTTTTTGTGATAAGGAAATCAGGAATAAAGGCTTTCATGAGGTTTGTTAATTCTTTCGGTTTAAACACACATGCGGGTTCGGGTATTTTGCGCGAAGATTAGTAATTAGTTCGTGGCTTACAGGATCGGTCGGTGTTGAAGGGTCGGTCACAGGGTTTACGTTGAGAAGTCTAAGAGTTGAGCGGTGTAAGGGGTTAGGCGTATCTGCGTGGGCTTTGTAGGGGCGAACACTTGAACTGTTCTGAAACTAAAGCCTTCAGCCTTCCCACCCCTAAGCCCTAAACCCTAAAACCCTTATACACCAAGCCACAGAAGCCCTTGAACAAAACACGAAACCCTTCTGCGTCACACCGCTGAGCCCCGCTAAGTCCCGAAACGCCCCTTACATTATTCGACCTAAAGCCTGAACCGTAAACTCCCTCAACGTTAAGCCCCCAAAGCACGAACAAAACACTTCGAGCGGTGAGCCCCTCAAACCCCGAAACCGCACGGCGCAAGCCCCTAGACGTATGTCTTCGACAGCCCTGAGTTCCTAAACGAACACCCGCGAACAAAATGCTTACCGAGAGGAGCTTTCAAGTACGGAAACAAAAAAAACATGGCCAAAAGGTTGATGCTGGCTGCCTCATTATATTGCCGGAAATAGATACGAATAGGTATTAATAGATACGGTTAGATACCAATAGATACGATTTTAGATACTTTTTAGATACGGTTGCAGAAAAAATGGATATGCGTCGAAAATACATACGGAATCTATTTTCAGTACTTGCGGCCTCTTAAGAATCTATTTTTTTTAGATACGTCGAGCATCTATTTTTTTGGATACGGTCGCATATACACAGCAAAATTGGCGCGAGAATCTAAAAAATCTATTCGCGATCTCTAGGGCATGGTCCCATAAAAGGGCCCCAGCGCATGCCCGCCCCCTCCGCTTTTCCCGCCCGTTCGCCTGGCATAAAAGGGCCCCCATGGCCCCATGGTCCCATGGCTCTAGCCCCCTGACCCCATGCCCCTCTCTTCTATGAGCTGGCTTTGTGCTAACTTTAAAGGGCCCTTCCCCCATGGCTCATGGCCCCACGGCCCCATGGCCCCATGGCTCCATCCCCCTGGCCCCACGCCTTTCCCCCCCTCCGCCCTTCCCGCCCTTCCCGCCCATGGCTCATGGCCCCATAGCCCCATGGCCCATGGTCCCATGGCTCTAGCCCCCTGGTTCCATGCCCTTCTCTTCTAGGAGCTGGCTTTGTGCTGACTTATGGCTCATGGCACCATGGCCCCATGGTGACATGACTCCACGCCCCATGGCCTCATGCCCATGGTCCCATGGCTCCACTGGCCCCATGGTCCCATGGCACCCCACCATGGCTCATGGCCCGGCCCCATGATTCCTGTGCCCCATGCCCCATGCCCCTCTCTTCCAGGGCTCCAGTGCTATGGCCATGCACCCATGGCTCCATGGCTCCATGCCCTGGCCCTCCGCCCACCCCGCCATAGCTCATAGCCCCATGGTCCCATGGCCCCATGCCCTCTGGCCCCATGCGTCTCTCTTCTATAAGTTGACTTTAAAGGCCCCTCCGCCTTCCCGCCCTTCCCGCTTATTCCCGCCCGCCATGGCTCATGGCGCCATGGCCCTATGGTCCCAAGGGCTCAGTGCATGCGCCCCCTCCGCCCTTCCCCTGGTCCCATGCCCCTCTCTTCTGACTTTAAAGGGCCCCAATGCATGCCCGCCCCCTCCGCCCTTCCCGCCCTTCCCGCCCTTCCCGCCCTTCCCGCCCGCTCCGCCTCATGGTCCCATAAAAGCCCCAGTGCATGCTTGCCCCCTCCGCCCTGCCCGCCTTTCCCGCCTATGGCTGATGGCCCCATAGCCCCATGGCTCCATGCCCCCTGGCCCACTCCTTCTCTTTTTTAGCTGGCTTTGTGCCCTTCCCGCCCCGCCATGGCTCATGGCCCCATGGCCTCATGGTCCCGTGGCTTCATGCCTCCTGGCCCCATGCCCCTCTCTTCTATAAGCTGACTTTAAATTGAAAGGGCCCCAGTCCACGCCCACCCCTTCCGCCCTTCCCGACTCCAGCCCTTCCCGCCCTTCCCGCCCGCTCCGCTCCGCCCACCGTGGCTCATGGCCCCATGGCCATAAAAGGGCTGCAGCGCATGCCCGCCCCCTCCGCCCTTCCCGCCCGTTCGCCCCTGCCATGGCTCATGGCCCCATGGCCCCATGGTCCCATGGCTCTAGCCCCCTGGCCCCATGCCTCTCTCTTCAGCTGGCTTTGTGCTGACTTCAAAGGGCCCTTCCGCCATGGCTCATGGCCCCATGGCCCCATGGCCCCATGGCTCCATCCCCTTGGCCCCACGCCTTTCGTCGATAAGGTGACTTTAAAGGGCCAGTGCATGCCCCATTCCTCCGCCCTTCCCGCCCTTCCCGCCCGCTCCGCCCGCCATGGCTAGCCCCCTGACCCCATACCCCTCTCTTCTATGAGCTGGCTTTGTGCTGACTTTAAAGGGCCCTTCCGCCATGGCTCATGGCCCCATGGCCCCATGGCCCCATGGCTCCATCCCCTTGGCCCCACGCCTTTCGTCGATAAAGGTGACTTTAAAGGCCCAGTGCCCCATTCCTCCGCCCTTCCCGCCCTTCCCGCCCGCTCCGCCCACCTGCATGGCTCATGGCCCCCCATGGTCTCATGGCTCCATGCCCCCTGGCTTAGGCGGTCTCATGGCGCGTGCCCTCACAGCCCTGGATGGCGCCCCCTGGCCCCCTGGTCCCATGGCTCCATGCCCCTGGCCCTCCGCCCATCCCCCATGGCTCATGGCACCATGGCCTCATGGTCCCATGACTCCATGCCCCCTCTCCGCCGCCCTTCCCGCCCGCTCCCCACTCCGCCATGCCTCATTGCCCCATGGCCCCATGGTCCCATGGCTCAAGCCCCCTGACCCTATGCCCCTCTCCTCTACCCTTCCCGCCCTTCCCGCCCTTCCCGCCCTTCCCGCCCGCTCCGGCCCATGGTCCCGCCCCCTCAGCCATGGCTCCATGCCCTGTGGCCCACTCCTGGCCCCATGCTCCTCTCTTCTATGAGCTGGCTTCGTGCTGACTGTAAAGGGCCTTCCAGTTCCCGCCCGTTCCGCCCGCCATGGCTCATGGCCCCCTAAAGTCCCATGGCTCCATGCTCCCTGGTCCCATGCCCCTCTCTTGATAAGCTGACTTTAAAGGGCCCCTTCCCCCCTCCCGCCCGCTCCGCCTCGAGATCATGTCCCATAAAAGGGCCCCAGTGCATGCTTGCCCCCTCCGCGGCCCCATAGCCCCATGGTCCCATGGCTCCATGCCCCCTGGCCCACTCCTGGCCCCATGCTCCTCTCTTAGCTGGCTTTGTGCCCGCCATGGCTCATGGCCCCCATGGCCTCATGGTCCCGTGGCTTCATGCCTGCTGGCTTTCTTCTAAAAGCTGACTTTAAAGGGCCCCAGTCCATGCCCGCCCTTGCCGCCCTTGCCGCCCTTGCCGCCCTTCCCGCCCGCTCCGCCCACCATGGCTCATGGCCCCATGGCCCCATGGTCCCATAAAAGGGTCCCAGTGCATGCCCGCCCCCTCCCCTTCCCGCCCGTTCGCCCCCTGCCATGGCCCCATGGTCTCATGGCTCTAGCCCCCTGGCCCCATGCCCCTCTTCTATGAGCTGGCTTTGTGCTGACTTTAAAGGGCCCTTCCCCCATGGCTCATGGCCCCATGGCCCCATGGCCCCATGGCTCCATCCCCTTGGCCCCACGCCTTTCTTCTAAAAGCTGACTTTAAAGGGCCCCAGTGCATGCCCGCCCCCTTCGCCGTTCCTTCCCCTTCCCGCCCGCGGAGCATCAGGTTGAGGGGTCGGCGGCACTGGCGGTAGCCATTAAATCGGGCAGCGCGAGGTCCCCAAAGGACCGAGCAAATGCGGACCTTTTAGCCCGGGTCGTCCCGGGAATAGCCTTGCTGGCCTCTGGCCTTCTGCGAAGCAGAATTAGGCCGGACGCCAGTGCCGCCGACCCCCGCGTGCCGCCGGTGAACGGTTTTTTTTTTCGTGGTTTTTTGCGTCGCCACGGAGGCCCCCAGAGGGCGCGCATCATGAGCATCAGCGGGTCCAGCCCGGGACCCCCAGGCGCGCATCAGGAGCATCAGCGGCTCCCGGGGCGGGACCGCGGGGGGGCATCAGGAGCATGATGCCCCCCAAAGGGCGGGCATAAGCGACGTGTCTAAGCCCGGGGCTAGGAAAAAGGGAGTTTAGGGGCCTTATAAAGTGCTTAGAAACGTTAAGGGAGTCTCGGAGCCTCAAACGCTTAGAGATTTGAAGGGAGTTTAGGGGCCTGAAAATGCTTAGAAACTTAACGCTTAGAGATTTTAAGGGAGTTTAGGGGCCTCAACATGCTTAGAAACTGCTCGCCCCGGGCTTCTGCGTGCGCTGCCCGCCCATGGGCGCAGCCCCTTAAATAATAAGAATCTAGCAACAATATAGTAGCAGGAATAATAATAGTAATAGGCAAGCATAAGAAGCCAGGGAGCCAGAGAGGGAGACACCCACCCACCCACACACACACACACACACACACACACACACACACACACACACACACACACACACACACACACACACACACACACCACACACGCACACACACACACGCACGCACGCACGCACGCACGCACGCACGCACGCACGCACGCACGCACGCACGCACGCACGCACGCACGCACGCACGCACGCACGCACGCACGCACGCACGCACGCACACACGCACGCAACGCACGCGCACGCACGCACGCACGCACGCACCGCGCACGCACGCACGCACGCACACGCACGCGCACACGCACACCCACACACACACACACACCACACAGAGAGACACACAGACACACACACACACACACACACACACACACACACCACACACACACACACACACACACACACACACACACACACACACACACACACACACACACACACACACACACACACACACACACACACACACACACACACACACACACACAACCACACACACACACACACACACACACACACACACACACACACACACACACACGTGCACACACACACACACACACACACAAAGTGGCACAATTCACAACCCAATTACGCAATTACGCAAAAACTCATTATACAACTCCCACAACGCACGAAGACGGTAACCTGAAGTAGTTGGTTCTGGTGCTGTGCTTGCATTCCAAGTAATTACAGGCCGCGCCTACAATAGGTGATATTGATGACATTGATGACATGCTTCCGACCCAGTACGGCAATTAGGAGAGCACACCTACTTGTGCCGCTCCCGTGAGGTGACTGCTCGGAAAATTGGTGCGTCATGTGGGACTCGGCCCACTTGCTTCAGAGGTGGGAGGTGGCACTTCGCGAAGAAGACCAAGCCCCCCTCCGTTAGTTCAGAAGCGTCCTCCTTGCAACTGCCCTTCTCTTTCCTACTTCCTCGACTGCGCGCGCGCGCACGCGCGGGCGCGGGGGGCGGGGGGAGCCGCGGTCACGTTCCCTGCCTTTTTCATGCCTTTATCGTCTGCTGGCTTCTGCGAGCCCCTCAGAATCCAGCACTCGAAACACGAAAAAAACAGTTGCATGTGTGTAAGTGAAAGAAAGAGCCTTCTAGCCTGCTTCATGGTATGACCTGGTATGACCCTAATTCCAGGTCAATTAGAAAAGATGTGCTGATTTAACTCACATGGAGTGGTTCGAGCATCTTTGTCCGGCGAGGAATTGACGAAAGAGACACCCAAGTTGGTCCAGAAGAAGAAACGCTAACATGTCATTGCCGTGGAAGGAATGGTGCTGCCATCTCAAGCAGATGCGCAACTGCCACAGTGTGTCTGTGCATGCTTGGTGCTCTCGCCTTGCGCGCCCCATGGGTACCTGCAAGCAGGCATGTCATGAAACAAGCCGCGTGGCTCGTAACAACTACTGGGTTCCTCCTTGACCGCGCAAACACCCGTGCACCCCTGCCAGTGCTCGCAGACCTGGACAACATATCCCCAAACCCTAAACTCTAAACCGCTTGACCCCTCAGACTGTGCCCGAGGCCTGCAAGGCGGAAGTTTGCGGAGATCGGACATTCCCAGGAATCCGAAGTGCGGATATGGTTCTTAACAGGAAACTTGGGCAACACTGGAACCAGTATGCTTTTATCCCCTATGCTCTACATAGGGAGTATGGAAAGGGTTGCATAGGGATAATTCGGCGATGAACTCTGCTGTTGGCATGAGAGGCTCAGTCTATAACTGTGCCCAGCTTACACGTTGGCTATCTACAGCAGATGCAATGTACTGCCTGCACGATGCACCCTGGCAGATGAAGTGTTAAGCAGGTCTGCAGCACAGTCTTGACGCAAAGCACCGTGCTGTCCTCCCAGCCCAGACTTGCTAACATGCTTGAAGGAAGTCATGTGAGGGTGCCTCTGCTCAGCCTGTGACGGATGCAGCTTGCACGCTGAAGTGCCATAAACCCTAAACCCTGAACCCTCAACCCTAAACCCTGGTTAAACCTAAACCCCAAACCCCGAACCCTATGCATGTCAACATCTCACGAAGGTTTTGGAGATCCAGCTCCCGTGGTTGGGCCGATAGAAAGAGTGAAGCTGGGTGTTCCAGCCTCTGTATGTACAATGGTGGCCTCGACGCGACATGGCTCAAGATTCATGAGGCTGAGAAGCATCCAAGCACCTGCACGACCCCGACAGGAGGGCCCCAAAAGGATCCCTGTCAAAACTTCTTCACAACAGTCGGATGTGCCTGCGTCATGCTTCTGGTGATGTAGCGCCCAGGACCTGCGCTGAGCGATGCCTGTATTGGGTTTAGGGTAAAGTTTAGGGTCCAGGGTTTAGGGTCAACTGCACTGCACCCCCCCCCCCCCATAGCCGCGCCTGTGGCGACACATTTGGCCCTGAGCCCTCCCTTGCAAGTGGAGCCGTTTCCTCCTGAGTAGGCTTGTCTGCCTGCGGTGCCAACAACTCGCCACACTGCACTACTCATAATACTACTATTCATAATAAGAAGAAGAAGAACAAAATAATACTAATAACACTAAGAATAGTAATAATAGCAAGAATAGTAGTAATAATAATATTGATATTAATATTATGATTATAGTAATACTAGCTGCCACACACCAGAAGAAGCCTTGCGCGAACGGTGCCATCGCAGCAAACACCGGCTCAGCAGAACCGTAGCAGAGCTCACAAGCCTTATTTCCAGAAAAAAATCAAGCGACAGCGCCAAGCACTCACAGTCTTTGGATATCTTTGGCGCGAAGGAGTTTACTGCAACTTGGAAGCAAGAGTGAAGCAAGCATGTGTACGGCAACAATGCACAGCATCTGGTTTCCTAGCCCTCCCCACGCTGCACAGGTACAGTGCCGCAGTAACAACTTTGCCCGGCTAATCTACGCTGCACAGAACTCAGCGTTCCCAGGGCCCAACCCAAGGTCAAGACCATGCGGCAATCTCGGTGCGGCATTTCTCGCCACCTCAGTCCGGGCACAGGATTGACGAGACGGAAGCGAGCCGCACGGATGGCCTGAGGGCCCGAACAGTCGCACCCAGCCATCCCTGCGTCCTGTCTGCTGGATGATGTCGTATTATACTTGACTAGCTTAGATTGTCTTATGGTTCTTAACATATTGGGATGCACCATGATGCACGAAGCCTACCACCAAGGCCAGACAAGTGATGTCACGAAAGGTCTGGTCATATTTCTCCTAGGCTGCTGACGTCTTGGATCCTTCCTGTGATGTGGTGGCGCATCGAATCTATGGCCCTTTCTTGGTGAAGGTAATATTGCTTCAGAGTTTCCGCCCAGAAACCCCCCCAAAACTGGCCCAGCCATGTCTGGCTTGTGACGATGAGGGTCTCAGCCAGTGACGCTGGTGAGGTCTTAATGTCGCCTCGACGGTTGGGCGGAACTTTTTCGACCAAAAACTATAAAACCCTAAACCCTAAACCTATAATTCAAACGGGCTCGGCTGTAACTACAGATGATCTCTGAAGCCTAAACCCTGAACCCTAAAGCCTAAACCCTAAACTACCCTAAACTCTAAACCCTAAACTCTAAATCCTAAACCCTAAACCCTGGTCCTGGGGCGCCTCGTCAGTTTGCCATAGATGACAGTTCCCCGCACGGACCTCCGTTGATGTTAGTCATGGTTGCTGATAAGTGATGAGGGATCGTTATGATTTGCTGTACAACCTTATATGGCGACTTAGTTTAAGTTCCTATGGCTGTTGAAGCCAGGACGGGATCAAGACTGAATCTGATTGAGTTGTTCACCTCAGCAACCATTCGTGCCAAGTCATCCAGCAAGGAGAAAGGAGCCTGGCGCAGAACACAGACCAACGCTGGGGCGGTGGGAATGAAAGGGAACGAATCCCTATCAACTCACAACACAAACCGGGAACAACAAAACCAAATTGATCAACAGAAAAACACAGAACCATAAGAATCTCCGATGGCAATGCTAGGAAATCGATGGGAACCGATCGATAGAACCATCAAGACAATCCTTCTCCCTATGGGGTCCCAGAACGCCTGTCCTTTGCAGGATCCTGCTTAACAGCTTGTACTGGGCTAGCGCTAGCATCAGAGAACGATCGTGAGCTCTCACCGTGAAACGGCCTCGATTGCCCAGTCACCGCCTGCCCCCACCCCATACTCACTGCTGCTGAGTAGGTATGTAAACGTCATTTGCAAAGCGCTACTAAGGACAAGCAAAAAACCACGTAAAACCAATGCTGCTAGCAGACTCATAAAGAATGATAAAGAATGATCCTGAAACTTGTGAATACTTGCAGCCGCACAAACAAAAACATGGTCTTGCTTAGCTTGCTTGGCCGGGCTTCAGGGAGGGTAAGGGCTGGTTCGAGGAGGCGAAGTCCCTGCACTACTTCCCAACACGCGTGCATCTGCATGACTCGTTTTGTTTTCATCCTCCTCCTCGTCACGCTCTTCCTTCCTTCAAGCAGGCTTGGGCCGGGAGGGCCGCAAGGGGCGGCAGCTTCGGAGTCTGTTTGTGTGAGACTGCTGGCCGAGTTCCCCTGTGCGGTTGTGTGTGGCAAGTCGCTAAGGGAAAGACACATTCATTTGGAAAGTAGGCCTCGCCATGCCACACTTGAACCCTTCCTTCCTTCATTCCTTCCTTATTTATGCTAACGCACTATCAATTTTTCGACACAAAGTTAAGACTCAAAAGAACTCTGTAGCCTTGGCTGCAGCACGAATCAAACAATGAAAGTGTTGTTCGTCTTTTCGTTCTTTACAACTCAACACGATCAGATGAACAGGCCATCCACCACTGAACCGCTGCCGCATTTTCCAAGGACTCATAAGCCCAACATAGGGAGCGTAACCATCATGGGTCTCTCAATTCTGAACCCTAAACCCTAAACCCTAAAAACCTAGTGTTTTCAGAGCCAGGCTTGTTGACTTGGAGATCAAAGGTGTGATGGACGAATGCACAATCGGCCTCTGCCCCAACTCGCGCAGCAAAGTGCGAAACCTTGCGAGCCGGGCCCGACAGTGACCCGTGCCCGAACAACCAAACCCGACCCTTCTTACTATATATATATATATATATATATATATATATTTATATATATATATATATATAACTATAATAATTATTATTATTTTCTTATTATTCTTATTATTATTACTATATTATTATGAATAATAAATTATTCATATTAGTATTACTAAGAGTCACTGGGTCAGGCTGAGGCACAGCAGACAGCAACAGCAAAGTGCCCAGCTGCGCCGATGCCTCTGCTTGCCATTGAGCTTCGAAGCGCTACGGTGACATCCTAAACCCTAAACCCTAAACCCTAAACCCTAAACCCTGGTGCGATGCACAATCATGACGAGCTCTCTGAAACAATGCCGTTCAACAAGACGCCAAGTTGCAAATTCAGACATCTGCGCATGGCACTTCCGGACCATGAAGAAGAATGCCTTGATCACAGGAGCAGCTGCCCATGACAGGCCTAACAGCACCAAGAATGCTGACACGACCTGACAAGAAATGGCACGGCAATGCCACATTAAGCTGTCGGCAATGACAGAAATAGTCAGCACGACAGCACCTGAGGCATTTTTCCGGTACTTGTTTGTCTTCTTTATCCCCTGCCCTGTTGTTGTGAACTTTGCAATGCTCTGATTCCTTTGTGGCGGAATACGGCTACTATGCCTACGCATCACCTCTGACGAAGAGTAGGGAAGTCACGGAGAAAGGAACAGCCCATTGTTGAATAGTAGTACAGGAACAACTGCATACCAAGACCGCAGAACAACAACGGGTGGGAGACCATGGAAACATCTGGGAAACTCTGGGCTTTCCCAGGTTTACCTATGTGTTGACAGCTGTTACTGTGGGCTTTATTAGTTGATGTGTTGTTTAACGTTCATTTTGTCAATTTTCTTCCCATGCCAAGCTTCCAATTTGCGCCTGGTCTCAATGGTTGAAAGAAGGTCGGCTGTATGGCCGTAAAACATGTAACAACACCCCCGCCGAGTCAAATCGAGTGACGCCGAGTGATGCCCTGTGAAGACGAGAGACGCCGAACGAAGCCGAGTGAAGACGAGCTACGCCGAGCGAAGTCAAGTGACGACCGGTGGCGTGGCTTGGCGTGGGTGACTTCGCTCGTCTTCGCGTGCTTTTGCCCGCATGGTAAACCCTGCCAAGGGTGCGATGCATTGACTGTGAAGGGTGCCTTCAAGCAGTGCAATCAAACAATTTAGCTACATTGCCAAATTAACACCTGCTCGCCTGCCTTTTTGTCACCGACTTGCACCGTGGTGGCAAACTGCTAAACCCTGAAATCTGGGTGGCCAGCCAACCAAGCGATAGGAGGAGAGCAGGTTGGATCCCAACCTTATCTGGTGTTATATTTAGCGACCCCTCTTTGGGTACGGCACTTCAAATATCAGAGTCCGTATTGTGACAGGTAGTCCGAAAGAGGTTCTCATCTACGGAACCGACCATCTGAGCAAGTCATTGCTGCTATGCGGTTGTCAAGACACGACAGGCTTGTCCTGCAGTCTGGCACATTGAGTAATTAGCCGATGTTCAGGTTAGTATTCCCCAAACCCTTGACCCTAAACCCAAATTCTTTACCGTCTCTTGTATCCGAGTGTGTTAACGTAACTGCGATTTCTGCAAAAAAAACCGTGGGTCTGGTCTGGACGGGTTCTTCCGGGATTCCTACTGCACCCTACTGCTCCTATGAAAACCCACTGTATCAGGCCCGGCAGAGGCGAGACGAGACGGGAAGAGGCGGATGGAGATCCAGGTAGGGCAAGGGCGCTGCGACTGAACGAACAGGATGGTTCTGGTACTTTAGCCAAGGCTGCAAGCAAGCCAGGTGTGCCAGGCCGGATTTCACCGACAAGATTGAACATGAAACTGGACCAGGTCGGAAGGACGATTTCGTGCTTAGAAAGAAGATTAGGGCGGAAACAGAACACATGTGGCACGACCTCTCTGCCTCTCGAACCCCTGAGCTGTAATGTGTCAGCACTGAGACATCGGCTGAAACACTTTCTCTGGCGACACGTTTGCCAAGCGACAAGCCTCGGCAAAGCAGACCCTAAACCCTAAGCCCTAAACCCTAAACCGAGTCAACTTGTCGGCCACCTGCTTGCTTGACACGGATTAGACATGGTGTGTCGAAGGCAGATGGCGACTGCCGCGCAGTTTGGTACTGTATTCGACATGATACACTACTAAAGGTCATGTCTGGTTGTGCAACCCGCTAAACCCTAAACCCAGAACCCTGCAACCTTGAAACCCTAAAGCCCTGAAAGCCTGAACATCCCAGATCCTAAACCCTAAACCCTACTCTATACTGAACTTTGGAACCCCAGCGAAAACTAAATATGTTTTGCTGTTTCTTAGGAATTATAGTACCCAAAAAATAAAAATTGTTTCCAAGTACCCCTAAGTTACTGAGGTGCCGACTGCAAGTGCGAGCAAGGTCACTAAGCCTCCAGTAAGCAAGGCAAGGGCCTCAGTCAACTCCGCCCCCCGCGGAGGGGGTTTAGGGGGTTTAGGGGGTTAGGGGTTTTGGGGTTTTATGATTTAAGATTTAAGGGGTTTAGCCGGCGTTGGGGGTTTCAGGGTTGAGGGTTAAGGACTTAGCCATTTCGAGACGGAGGGGCTGATCTGAAAAATGGGCCCTTCGGAGGTTGGTCGCCTCAAGTGGGCTTTGCGAAGCCTACATCCTGTGAGAGTTGATCTGCATGATCCGAGACTTCAAGGAGAAAAAGAAAGAGAAGGACCCAAGCAAACATCCACCATGTCGATGAAACCCCAACGAGTGATGCATAAAACTCCCGAGCTCCATCCTGATTGTTCGCATGTTGCTGGTGTAAGGCTTTCGACTGCACGCCCGAACCCCCTAAATCACAAACCCGTAAACCGTGCCTTAAACTCCAAGCCCTTCAGCTCCCCTAAACCCTAAACCCTAAACCCTTCAACCCCAAATGCCCCAGACCCATGCTGAAGGCGCGGCCAGCTTCCAGGTGAAGTAGCTCAGGATCGCCTGGGATGATTTGCAAACTTAGGGTTCAGGGTTCAGGGTTCAGGGTTTAGGGTTTAGGGTTTAGGGTTTAGGGGGACTTTGCGGGTGACTCCCTACGTATGGTTGCTGCTGCAGTGTGCCATAACACCACGGCATGCCCACACTGCCATCTCCTGCTTATGAGCCTCTACTATGGCTGATGGCAACGTTGCAAACCTGGATTTCGCTGAAGCTTCAACAAAAAGTTATACATTATAAACAGTATGTCACATTAATTATTGTAAAACCCAAGCTCTGCGAACATGTAGTACTAGAGCAACGAGCTACGAGTGCTTCTCTGCTGCTAGAAAGACTAGCTCTCATGGCGCCAGTGAAAAGCCAAGCAGCCGCAGCTGCACCCGCTGAAATTCCTGCTGCCCACGGGACCCACTTTCCTGCCACACAAAATGCAAGCTGCAAGCGCGCTTCTTGTGAAAAACCGCTTACAACGAAGTCTGTCATAACCTAAAGACTGTGCATACAAAATGACAGACACACTAAGCCAAAACACTATTAATAATAGTAGTGTTCATAAAAGTCGATTATGGAATCATGAGAAAATACGACAACCAGATTCGAAGACAACAAGAGACCCGCGCGCCTTCTGGAAGCTCCATACCCCAAACGGGCTTGTTGAACTGCTGCCTATCCTCCGGCGACAAAGAGCAGGGTTTAGGGTTTAGGGTTTAGGGTTTAGGGTTTAGGGTTTAGGGTGCCACTAAACTGTTGCTGAGCACCTCCCTGTCCGTCAAGTAGGGTTTAGGTTAAGGGGTATTGCCCAGTGGAGATCACGATTGAATACACGGACATGCTTTTACAAACGGAACTTGAAACCGAAAGTCTTTAACTTTACTATCTCCGTGGCTGCTGCCCGGGCCCTCCCTGCTCTTGTTTAAACTTAAACGTGGTCACCATTGACATTTGGTGGACACATAGGGGCACATCCGGTGTGAGTCTCTCCAAGGTGCGAAACATTCGGGGCGCCGCATTCCCAGCCCTTCTCGTCAAGACATGCTCGAGCTTCCCTGCCCCCCTCCCTGCACAGCCTGGGGGGGCTTCTGTATGTTGATATAATTCATATACCCATCTGGAGTCTTGTGCGGGCAGATGATGCCCGGATGTTGGTCAGGGAGCCCTAGGCGTATGCTTGGGGGTTGTTTACCTGTTTACATCGTGGATCCACCCGAACCTTGCCCAAATGGGGGGCGTCGGGCCTGTGCCACCAGACCAATCCACAGACCAAGGCTTGTCGATGCCACTGCAGCCAGCATGTGGGGAAGCCTTCAGGTCAGGGTTTAGGGTTCAGGGCTTCGGGCTAGACACGCAATCGTAGCTCGGCATCTGGAACGGATGTGATCACTACACTGCTGGCTGCACATAGTCCATTTTGACCGACCCGCTTGTTCGACCCGTGCTTGCAAAGGGAATGATGAGTGAGAGATGTGTCCAGCCTCTTGCCCCAAACGATGGCCCCAGTTCCTGCAATCAGGAGACTTTTTCAACCCTACGCACTCACTCTGAACCATGTCCAGGGTCCAGTGAGCCTGCATGAACGCAAAAAGTGACAAGCAGCTACTATTGGGTGGGCGATGTCTGTATACCAATGGGCCTAGGGCGCAGCATGGCTACGCCTTCGTGACTCAAGACTGCAAGTAGGAAAAGCTCATGTTCTCCCAGTGTCCTAGAATCAGGCCGATGGCATGGAGAACGTCCGGATCGCCAAGAAAATGCTGCACCTGCCCAGTCACTAAATTACTAAACAGCTGCCTTCGACTGACCTTCTTCCCTCCCAGCTCACTGATTGATTCAACTGCTGGCAAAGTCTCGAAGAACGGCCCTTTGCAGAAAAAAGGCATTAAGCGAGAGAAGCGATCACAAACCTCGAGCAGGCACGAGGCCGGCGCACCGAGAGCAGTGGGTTGGGTGGGACAGGCGAGGCAGCAGCCCAATATTCCGGTGTTTTGGGGACGAGAGGGGGACCAGCAACTCAGTGCAGTAAAACACACGTGGAAGCAGACAACCCACTCCTCGAGCAGACAAATCGCAGAGACAAACGTGCATCAACGAATTAAACCAGTAAGCTTCATCGACTCCGAGAGGGCCTTCTTTGGAGCCTTAATCAGAAAAAAAGCACGCTCGACAGCCTCGGAAAGGGCATCTGTAAAGCGGACGTGGGGATGAAAAGCAGTGGGATCCAGCCATCAAGAGCACTGTAAAAAAGATGCCTGCAACCCCAATTGTAGTTCCCTCATGTACCCCCCCAGACGGAGCTACAACTAGAAGCACGCGGATGTCTCTATCAAACGATCCGGTCCGTGCTGCCTGTGATTGCGAACGGCTGTCCGCGGCCGCAAGTGGAGTCCGCCCACAAAAACCCGAAAAGCCGAAAACCCGAAAAGTCGAAAAGTTGATTGGAGCACAAGCTTAGCGCGAAAAGGCGAAAAGTCGAAAAGTCGACAATGCGGGAAAAGTACCGAAAAATCCGAAAAGTCGCCGAAAAACGAAAAGTCGCCGAAAAAACGAAAAGCCGAAAAGCCGAAAAGCCGAAAAGTCGAAAAGTCGAAAAGTTGTGAAAATCCCGAAAAGTAGGAAAAGTCGAAAGCATGAATATTTTCGAACAATCCTGAACGTTCCGAGCAGTCTGAAAGTCCCGAAATGTCCAAAAGCCGAAATGCCGAAAGGCGGAAAAGTGGGCAAAGCACATTCTTCTAGAAGCTGTAAGACAACTTTTCGACTTTTCGACTTTTCGACTTTTCGATTTTTTTAGGGCGTCTCCGCTTATCTGCAAGCGCGGAAGCTTGCGTGCTTAGCTGCCGTGGAGGGGGATGGGGGAGGGGTTCCCAAAAGAGAGTCCCCCCTTCATACAACCCAAGATGGAGTAGAAACCTCCTTGAACGGACCCCCGTAAGCCCGAAACCCATTGTCGGAAATCCCCTGTATAGTGGAGTGCGGTCCCCGTGGTGGCAAGGCCCTGGAGAGCTTCGACTGTTTTAGGGCTTCGGGGTTTTAAGGTTTAATGTCCTTCCTCCGAGGCTGAAAGCCATGTGGTGTTGGTCTGGTTGGAGACAAGGGAGCCTTGCACCCAGGCATTAGAAAGATTGAATACTGATCTTCCTGGGGCATGCGCAAAAGTGCTGTCGCTGTGGCAGTGACCTGCTGTAACAAGGAGTTCGTAGCCAAGACCCAAGGAGATGTCGGACCTGTTGGCCTTCGACCATCTGACATCGCACGCAGCAGACATCCAACCAACAAAAAACGCCACCTGAAACTCAGGCGTCGTGCTTGAGTTCACGAGCATCAGCGGCCGGCATCAAGACTCGCTCATGCCATGCTGGCGACACTGGGCCATTAGGGCATTGGGGCGAAGCAATGACCTTCGAGCAGTTGCGGTAGCCTTTGTAGTCGGAGCGCTAGCTTCCGTGACTGCAGGGTTTCTGCATTCATGTTCTAAGCATGCGCAGCATGACCCTGTGGCGTGATCCCTCTCCGCCTGCTTTGATGTTCATGGGTAGTTGTAGCTAACTAGTTGTTAGTTAGAACTGGCTGCAACCGTTTTTTGGGTAAGCTTGAACCCGTGCACCTTCTCAAGTATTCATCTAATGGTCGGAGCGCCTCACACAGAGACTAACTGACCAACTATGCTGGCATGCTGGTATCGAGCCTGCAAGGAATAGCAAGTTCCCTTGACACCAACCACGGACGCTGCGCAAAAGATGAGCTCGGTAAACCCTAAACCCTAAACCCGTAAACCCGTAAACCTAAACCCTCAACCCTAAACCCTAAACCCCAAACCCTCGCCGCTCTTTTCTCCAATAGTAGCTATCTATGCTGGTCTGCTCCGGATCCCGCAGTGACATGGCTCCAGTGCCGCCCAGCAGGTTCCCAGAAGGGTTTAGGGTTTAGGGTTTAGGGCTTAGGGCTTAGGGCTTAGGGCTTTTGGCTGGCTTCTCATTCTTGACGCTGAAGTTCCAGGGCTAAGGGTTCGAATTTGAGAACCGAGGCAAGCACCGGGCCTGAAATTGGCGAGGCGTGTGCTGGACAATGCCCTGCATCTGACATGTTAGACAGCAACCTTGAACAAGTCCATCATGAACGTGTTCCGCATGGTGCTCTGTATGTTGGGTGGGGGGGTGTCGGCGTGCAGTGATCCGGCTATGCAGCACCGGTAGCAGGCTTGTAATTCGGATTCTTCTTGAGGATGACAAAATCCTTCGCAGGTGGCTTGGGCATCCCCAGGCCCTGAACATACAGGTCTGTCCTTGGATGGCCCGACTAAAACCCTCTGAAAGATATTCCTAAATAAGGTCCTGGTTGGGCACTCCAAGGAGTCTCTGGGGTTGGGCACTTCAGGGAGTCTCTAGGAGCAGACCGGGCGAGGAGAAGAGTTGAGGTTAAATTCTAACAACCCCACACCGAAGGTGGGGAATAAGTGAAGATATGAAACATCCCGAGAGCCTAGCTAGTGTCCTATAGCAGGAAATTACCCGGGAAAGGGGCCGTAGCTTGGAGAACTGACCAGCCCGTGTCCTCCAAGATTGTTCCGGGCGTGACCGGCAGGTACTCCTCTGTCGCCAGCTCCGCTCTGTCCTTCATGTTGCCCACTGCAAGCATGACACCCTAAACCCTAAGCCCTAAGCCCTAAACCCTAAGTCCCAAACCCTAAGTCCCAAACCCTAAGTCCCAAACCCTTAAAATTGAACAACCAAGCCTGGAAGTTGAGAAGCACCGGAGTGGTTCTGGTCTGGAAGCCCGTGATCTGCTTTGGACGACCAGCCATGCCAGTTACCTGTACTGTAGGGTTTAGGGTTTGGGGGCTCTCTTGCGCAAACCCTTCAGCCCAGCTGTGCTGGCTAATTCCAGCTCAACTGAGCTTGCTGCGTCCACGGCCTGACCTACCCGGACGGCCACTTTCAGCTCGTTCATGTCCTGCTAAAAAACAAAGAACGAGTCCTTGCTTCTGTGAATTCATGCACCCTAGATGTCTGACTTTCGTTACGCCCTCCTCGTCCACGGTAATCAACCATCTTGGTCGCATAGCCGGGACCACGTTGTAGAGCAGATAGTGGCTCTTGCTTAGGATGGTGTTCCTTATCCCACCAGGAAATTCGCAGAAGCAAAAGAACTGCAAGGTAAGGAAAGCCAGGCGACTTCAGGTGCAACACCGAATGCGCCTTAGCATCTCTGCATGTCGGACTAATTCCCCAAACCCTCCCCGAAAATGCAGCTCCCTTGAGACGTCGACCAGCACTGCAAGGGAGCCAAACGCAACTGGATCCACCAAGTAACCTGGGTTTAGGGATCTTAGGTTTGATCAGGGATACTAGGGCTTAGGGATTTTGGGAGCATCGGGATGAGCAAGAAAGTGTCCAGTTGCGGCACAGTAGCGATCGCTAAAGAGAGGATTGATTGTCAGGAGACCCTTGCCCATGTACAGCAGGCCTTGGCTGCGACTGGGAGCCCAAACAAAGACACCTGCATAGCCTGCTGGCTTTTCTCAACAAGCAGAAATTCGATGCATTTCCAAAAACACCCAACCTGCATTTGTACTTGCACACTTGTGCTGAAGATCATCAGAATCTACGCATGGTTGTGGATGGCGGCTGTTGCTGGCACTACTTGTGTTCGTTGCAGCTGCCTGCTTCTTGCCTTGCTTGTTACCCGAGGCAAGCATCAGCCTCAGAAGCGAAGCCACACTCCGGCAAGATGTGTTTTGGACTTTTTGGCAGAACAGTGGTCTATGCCATTTTTGACGGAACGGGCATGCTTCTTGCGGTTCCCTGCAATGCTTCATCACATGCAAAAGTCCTCTTCTTGGTATGTCGGACAAGGTGCCCTGGGCAATTCTGACCATGAACAGGGCATTGGGGTCTTTCGCGTAGTATGCCGCCAACTGCCTGGAAGCTTGCGCCCTCTGGGCCCAGTTCATGAGAGAAGACGAGAGAAGATGGGTTTTGGGTTTAGGGTTTAGGGTTTCGGGTTTCAGGGGTTGTGGCAAACATGAGCTCAGCCTGAGCAAGCCTGCCAAGCGGGCATTGTTTGTGCCGGCACCTCCGGCGGCTGCCATCGCCACACAAAGTTTCTGCTGATGTGCATGCGTAGTAGCTGCCCTTTGGTCCAGCCTATCAAGCCCATGCTCATGATGGCGCCAGTCGCCACATCCTGACATTTGCACGAAGTTGACCAACTCAGCGCTCATGCTGTGCCAGGTCAGAGGTGCCTGGTCCGCGTCATGCGACAGCTTTGCCAGCGTGTCGATCACAAGCACCTGCTACGCCAGGATTCGGAGGGTTTGAGTTCATTCAGGGCACTTTGCCGGCCTTTGGATTGGAGAGATGCAGGATTGCCAAGGCAATTGGGACAGCTCGCCTCCGTGCGCGGAGGCGTCTACTGTAGGTAGGATTAGTGATCAAAAGCCTGTGTTTGCAGCTAGTTATGCACAGATCTTACAAAGGGAGAGGTTGAAGCAGACAACCGCAGAACTCTTGCCAGCCTCAGCGTGAGCTCTCCATACTGGAGAATATGATCAATGGATCTGCATGCCATTTCAGAACCTTGACGTGCGAAGGCAGCAGGCCGGTATGGGAGCGCAAGTAAAGCGCTACATCCGCTTGTGGCGTGAGACAATGCTGTACTCCGCGCTTGGGCCAGCACCGATCTCCTCACCAAAAGCTATCAGAGCTATTCCAAGGACGGCAGTTGCCTCAGGCAGCGACAAAAGAGTTTAAAGCCCTCAGGCTGTCTACCAGTCATACACAGGTGAGACACAACCGAAGCACACCAAACTGCAAGGCCTGGTGAAAGGCTTCAGCTTCTTCAAGGTGATCTGTGCACGCTTGCAACCTGCGTCTTCTGGTGGTTCGAAGAGATGACCCTCATACTCATACTGAGACCGCAACATTTTCTGCACGTGCAAGACATCACCCGAATAGGCGAACGCGAAGCCTGCCAATGGCACCATAGTACAGAATTGGAATCGAACTCACGGCAGTGCAAGAATCCATGGCCTTCGACAGTCAGCTTCGCATACTTCCCCACGGGATGCGTGATCGCATCTAGTGCTGACAAAGTAGCTTCTGCAGCATCCTGAAGAAAAATGCGCGGATGCTGCTGCTATGGCACCATGGCTGTGCTCCACTCAGCCCCTGTGTGACTTGATCCAGCCTGCTGACCGAGGTACAGGAGACCTGCGATCGCAGACTTTCGTGGCATCTGCGCAGTGTATGACAAGGCGCTTGTGTACACCTCTGTGCCATCAATCCCATGTTGCACTTGTGGGGTGGGCTTCCGATGGGATGGGATGGGGGAGCTTGGTATTTCAAAGGAAACCGGCCGAAAAGGCGCTGCGCATGAAGGTTCAAAGTAGAGGCTAGCTCCAGGGGAAATTTAGGCTTTCTGGCGTGGGGACTCCCACCGAAACACCACCAAAACAACACCAAAACAACATGGGCTTGACACGTGTATGAGGCATGCCGTCTTGTGAGTAGCTGTCTTCCGCCGTTTTGGCATGTATGTGATGCTTTGTGATCAACCATAAGCCATCAACATGTTCAAGCACTTGCCCATGTTTCATGTCCAACCAAGACTGGGGTCATGGCCTAGGCCGACCGCGAAAAAATGCGGCCAGGTGCCACTTAAAGCATTTTCCACTGCCTTCACGCAGACATTTTGCTGAGATGAAACAGCGTCCACAAAGCACCTCAAAATCACTGAGGAGCAGACTTGTCTTTCAATTAGCGTTTGTAGAATCGCCTGGGCCACCTTCCAGAAGTCGTCAACCCTAGGGTTTAGGGTTTAGGGTTTAGGGTTTAGGGTTGAGGGTTGAGGGTTGAGGGTTCAAGGTTTAGGGTTTAGGGTATAGGGCCCTAGGTGCCGCAGACAGAATGCTGATCATGGTGCGGCCTCGTCATTGCACGAGGAGACGAAAACCAAGCCCAAACTGACTGCCGCCATGGCCGAGCACTCGATGCTACAGGCCTCAGAAGGCGAGGCTACACGTTGCACCGAAGAAAGATTAAGGTTTAGGGGTTTCGCTAGGCTACTGTCTATCTACCTGCTGATGGACTAATTATCAGTGGGTTGCGTGGCGAATTGGTGCCTCGGCTCTACCAGTTCTCCCTCGGTACATAAATATCGGTGGTTTGCATCTTGTCAGCCAAACAGGGTCCTCTGCCCGGACAGTTTGCCTGACCAAAGGCCAAGAGCGCTCGAAACCGATCGGAAGTGCAACCCTGGATGGAGGCGTTCTGTGCTGGAAGCTCCTACTCATTGTCGGGGAGAAAGGGGGGAGGGCAGAGTGAAGCAGATTGCCGCGCTGCGCCTCTCAAAGTGATGGCTCGGAGGCGCCTTAAGCAAGAGATCAGGTCGCGGCAGTGTCAACGATCATCGGGGTGAGGTTCTCCAGCAAATCCTCATCCAAGAAGGTGCGTCATTCTGGTGAGACCCCAAACCCTAAACCCTCAACCCCTCCAACCTGAAATTTGCTGTCCTCTCGGCAGCTGCCAGCATACGCATAGCCCAGGCCGACAATTGCAGCTAGGCGCAGCTGCGCATCCTGCAAGAAAACAGAACGCAAGCTCATGGATCCCTTGCCACTTTCATTCGGAGCCTCACATTTTCGGGACTCAAAATAGGTTTAGGCTTTGGGCTTTCAATTCAGGGCCGAGAGTTGCCTAAATACCCCACGATGTAGAGTAGGGTGCCCGCCGCATCTGCAGGGCCCACCTCTGCCTCGAGCTGCTCACCCAGCAGGGCCCATGCTGGATCGCATTCGTTCTTCACCTCGCTCTTGGAGGATGCTTAGGGTTTAGGGTTTAGGGTTTAGGGTTTAGGGTTGAGGGTTTAGGGTTTGGGGTTTAGGGTTTTGGGTGTACTGAGTCCTCTTGTACAGTCTCTGTACAGCGTAAACCTTAAGCCCATGCTTCAAATTTAGGGCGGGCCAAAAAGAACACAGAACCCTCGGGACATTCCAATGCAAGGAAGCACCCCAAACAAAAAAAACAGAATTCAGAAACCTTTGTGGGTATCTAGATGGTAGCCCTGACAATCCTGGAGTTGAATTTTTCAAACAGCTACCGACCAACTCTCAACCTCAGCCTGGAAAAGCTCGCTGCTGATCAAGTCGTTTTGCCGCACTTCGGCTGCGGCTTGAACCACAGCAAGCACAGGCACCCGGGCAACCAAGGCACGACAACGAAAATGCGAGACACAACATGCAAATTCACACACCAACATTATTGCAATCATTTCTGTCCTGACCCATCGTCATTTGAAACATTTGTGTCCTGACCTGCCCCCCCCCCTAAAGTATTTTTTAATGCAAGCCTCAACATTCCTTGAAGCAGTTTTGTCCTGCCCTGCCTTCCCCCCCCCCCCCCCCCGCACCCCCCATTTGGACATTTTTTGCCATTTTTTGTTTTGTTTGCTCTTTGTTCAAGCCATGGGTGTAACTCTTTTGCTCAAATGCCCAAAACCTACCCGACCCTACAACCCTGCGGAAAATCGCCCTAAACCCTAAACTCTCAACTCGAAGCCCGACTTCGAGGATCGGGCACCGCAGGTGACCAGACCGAAGGCTAGCAGCGCGCCAGCCTTCAGAAGGGCTTAGGGGGTTAGGATTCTGGAGGTTTAGGATTCTTAAGGTTTAGGATTCTTAAGGTTTAGGATTCTGAAGGTTTAGGATTCTGAAGGTTTAGCGGTCTGCAAGTGGGGGATTAGGATGCAGTTGGGGGGTTTAGTCCTGGGGTTTGGGGCTTCAGGCTTTGGGGGCTTGGGACTGTGGACTGGTGGTTTCAGATAGTTGGGGGTCTCGGGTTGCAGTGGAAGACAAGAAGCATCCTCAAAGAAGCCCACCAACAACCACCGAGTCTGCCGGGCCTTCAGATTCACATCTGAGCTCCACTGGTACCTCGACATGGGGGGGCTCTTCAAGCAGAAGAACGCGTTGCGCGAGCCCCTGCGGCCCCCCAGGCCCCCCCCCAAGCCCCCTCCCAGGCGCACTTGTCAATCTGGGTCAGGCCCTCATCGATACCCCACAAGAGCAGAGCTCCCAGGGAGCCCACAGTGCTCATCATGCCCGCATCCTGCGCGGTTCAGGCTTCAGGGTTTGGGTTTAGGATGGTTTAGGACACAGGGTCTCGGGCTGAATAGGGTTGGCGGTTTTGCGATCGGCTGTACCGAGCCGCTACACGTCAACAATTGGATTATTCATTGCACCTGCGCTTCCTTACACAGCCATGGAGCATGTGCGGCCAGCAGACCAAGCCTTGTTCTTGTACACCCATTTCGAATCTGCAATCGTCATCAGCTCATCCTGTATCATGGCAAACGTTGCAAGGGGTTGATCTCAGTGTCAACAGCCTTGCAGAAGCCAGCATTGACGAAAGCGTTCACGAAAGACGATGCCAAATTCTGCTTCGCAGAATCCAGGACGGCGGTGGATCGCTTCTCCTGTGAGCAAGCTTTTGCTACGAGCGCAACATGCATGTGCACACGTATATGTATGTGAATATATATATATATATTATACACCGCGAAATTGTGATGTAACCTTGTGCTGTAGTTGCGTGTCTCGCATTGCAGCCGACTTACGTACTCTTGTTGCAGGCGTTGCATCATGTCTGCTCACCAGGCTTCCAGGCTTGCTTCTAAGATGTCCCGCAACATGAGCAACACCATGTGCCCATGGAGTGCAGCTTGGCCGTTGCATGCACCGCGGGATACCGATGTCAGCTTGCATGAGGTGCAGGTTTGCGTACTTTCAAGTAGAGAGTCCAGGCTCAAGCTCAAGGCTGATGCTTCTGGGCTCAGGGTTTAGCAGGTTGCTTGGCGAGTGTGTACCAACGTACTAGTACCTCCAAAGTGGCCATCTGCCCACACACTGCGAGCGTGTCGCCACACGGCAGCTCTTGTGCGGACATTATGCGCACATGACATCACGAGAAGCCTGAAGCGTAGACCCCCGTAAGCCTGTGATCTGCTCAAGCAAACAGCAGGAAAATGGGAAACTAGTGAAACAACATAATCATGGAATTAAAAAAGGACTATATGTACTAGTATCAGGATATCATACTATCAGAATATCATCATATCATAACACCACAATACCATACTACTATAATAGCACAAGATCATAGCGTAACAACACGTTAACCGAATAACAGAATCATACTGCAACCAAATAACAACCATATTAAGGTCCCCTGCCTCGAGGTGTGACTTGTAGATTTGTTCTGGCAGCTTTGGCTCCAAAACGTCAAGTTCCTTCACAGTGGGGGAGCGGCTTTGATCTGTTGTAATCCGTGCATCTGTTGATGGGCTCATGCTGTTGCTGGCAGCTTCAAAGCCATTGGTCGAAATTCTTTGGGGAAAGGGCGCAGGTCTGTTGCAAGATCGACGTCAGTTCACCCAAACATACCGCCACCCATCTTTGTTGCATGCTCGCACCTTGGCTAAGGAGATGAAGTGCTTTGAGAGGCTCTCGCCGGAAGCAATCTCTTTGAGTTCATCGTCCTGTGGCCAACTACATTCGCCGTCTTCAATGGGTTGAGGCCCGACAGCGTGCAGCCTCCTCGAAGTCATGGTTGAACTTCCTCCGTGATATCCTGAGCCATGGGCATGATGAGAACTGAGGCGCCAACACAATTAATATTATCAATCTTACGAATACTCTTATTAATGGTATTCATGTTTTTAAGATTCATCCAAGCTGCATGAAGGCCAGCTGCTTCTGAACAAGTCGGTCCTTGACAACTTATGGCGATTTGTTCGTGCGTCTTTCAACTTGCTGATGTGGCCATGGTGCCCTTTTTCATGTTCCGAGATCTAGAGTAAAGGGTGGCCGCCTCCGGGCCTACAAGAAAGGCGACCGGAGATTTTTTTTTCTTTGGGGGCGGGGGGGTGGGACGTTCCTGAGGATGATGGTCCTCACCCTGTCGCATGGCATGCGTTTCGGCTGTAGGCGGCCACCTCTAACCCACATGTGGAAGTGCCTGTAGGACGACCATCTTGACCTTCCCTCTTTCCTCCAACAGCTGTTGATTGCAGGCCGAAGATAGAAATCTGGTGGTGGAGGACCGTCAGGTTTTGGATGTGTTGAAAGTATATCTGCCAACTTGCAGCCACCGCTTCCGCTGCTTTTGCTTGCTACAGGGATCTGCAGGCACTGCTGCGGCTGTTGCTGCAGGCGATTGCGCCACAAAACTTGAAAGCTCCGCGGGCCCAGGGCAAAGCATGGCCCTGCTCAAGGGACAGAGTAGCCCTTGTAAGGTGATCAGCGATCACGATCCGCCACGGCATCCAGCATGGGCATCGTCTAGCAAGAGACAAGTATGGTGCAAATGTCATCAGCCTCATGCTCCCTGCAAGTCTGAGCATCGGAACTTTGGTCAGGCTGCCTCTCTCTACCCGACGCATGATACGAACTGACCGTGTATATGTGGTATCGCATCCTAAGGTTTAGGGTCTTCAAGTGTAGGGCAGATACCCTGGGGCTCGGCAGCTTGGATGCCTCTCCGACAAAGAACAGCCTCAATACTTTTTGGGATGTTCCCCCCCCCCTTATAGTAGCAGTCCTGAATAGGGGTGATACAGTGATACCTTAGTAGGGATGATAGTCCTCAATAGGGATTGCAGCACCCCGTGTGAAAATTCCCTTTACTGTTAGTATCAGGCGGAACATCCCATCAATACAGCTATGTGCTGGCGCCGCATCTGCCCGTGTGCCCTTCGTTGTCAGCTGATGGCAAGCCCACCGCACACAACAATTTTCCATTTGCACGAAAGGTGTCCATCTGTGTACATAAAATTGTACATTTACACATGAATATATGCGAAAACGTAGATGTGTGTGTGTGTGTGGTTGTGTTTGTGTTTTGTGCCTGTGTTTGTGCCTGTGGTTGCGTTTGTGGCCTCGTTTGTGATTGTGTTTGTGTTTGTGCTTGTCTTTGTCTTTGTCTCTGCCTTTGTCTTCGTCTTTATCTTTGTCTTTGTGTTTGCGTCTGTGTTAGTGCTTGTGTTGGCGTGGGCGGGGGGCAGAGGGATGCGCTTGCGCTTGCGCTTGCGCTCGGCAAGGGGGGGGCGGGTGTGTGGGTGTGAATGTGTGAATGGGTGAATGTGTGAATGTGCGAATGTGTGAATGTGTGAATGTGTGTGCGTGTGCGTGTACGTGTGCACGGGCGTGGGCGTGCGCGCATGGGCGCGCGTGAGCGTTCGTTGCGTGCGTGTGTGCGAAAATATGAAAAAGACATGTGTCGACAAAACCACCGGCCGCTACTGAGGCCAGAACCTCGCAAGCACCGAATACACCAGCAACGGCTTTTGCATCGTTGAGCTTCAAGGCGATTCGGAGCGCTCCAAAATATTCCTGACATGCTGTAAATGCAAGCAGCTCACCTCATCTTCTCCGAGCACAGCCAGGCAAACAACCAGCCATCCTTGTACTTCAAGTACAGGTTCATGCAGACGTGCAGGTACATGACCTTGTCTGCCTGATGACGCCGGTGTGCGACGACTTGGACAGTTGTGTAGAACAAGCACACGGGGACACACACACACACACACACACACACACTCACACACGGCCGGAGATCTAACCGAACCCCCGAAATATGCGCTGCAGGGGAAGCCTAAAGGTACGGATGATGTGCTCGCGTGCTGAAGAGCCGCTGTGGGCCTTCTTCCAACCCTAAACACCGTGGAAGCGCCGGGCTTTCTGACGCAGCGCATTGCTTCGGATCTTTCCCACCAGCGGTCCCGTTTCGGACAAGACTGGGTTCTTAAGAACCCTAAACCGCAAACCCTAACTCGTATCAGAGTCGACTTCCATACAACTACTTGGGGCTATACTTCTACTTCCGACACCCGCTGATGCAGGATGCGTCCACCTCATATCGCAGAGAGCATGGTCGGCCGCAGGGGCCGTAGGGCAAGGCCCCCGAAATCTCCGGCGTCCCGCGAGAAAGGCAGCACCACGCTAGCTTGCCGATGGGCCCAAACACGGGGCAAGAGGAGCTTGACGCACCCACAGAGCACTTCTTCTTCTTCTTCTTCTTATGCTGGCAGCTGCCCAGCAGCGGAGAGGCCCCTTCATGTGGAACCGCGGCCACGACAGCCGCTGCTCTCTCTCTCGCTCTCTCTATCTCTATCTCTAGCTCTATCTCTACCTATCTCTCTCTCTCTCTGGGCTTAGCCCCCCCGAAGGGGAGCTGCCCCCCGAAGGGCGCGCAAAGTCCGAAGATCCGTCTGATGGGCAGTACCACGGTTTTCGTGCTTTACTTTCATGGTGAAGGTCATTGCCTCAGTATCTATCCCTCTCTGTCTTTCTCTCTCGCTCTCTCTCTCCCTCCCTCCCTTCCCTCCTTCCCTCCCTCCAGCAGCTGATGCATCATCAACTTCTACAAGACGCCCGCCTGAGTTGCCGCAAAGTTGGCAAGGCCCTGCAAATACAGACAGACCTTTGCATGACTCAGCGCACACATGTAGAGTTGCAAATATCTTTCTGAGCAAGACAGCGCAGTACTATAGCTGAGAAGACAAGCATGCTGTGAGACCGAAGGAAACGACTCGACATCAGCAGTGAAATTTTAAGAGTGCGGAGCGAGAGCGAGAGCAAGAGTGGGATGCGAGCCAGACTGAGGGAAGGAAAGATAGGGAAAGGGAGGTGACAAGACAAACAGACGGAGGGAGGAAGGGGAGAAAGCGAGAGAGCGCGAGAAGGAGCGGCAGGGCCCCGGGTTCAGGATTTGGGCTTTTAGGAGAGGGTTCGGGCCCTAAGTCGAGACCAGCCGGATCCCGACTGAGTACTGCACCAATCTGTCGCAGCATTCCTATGAGTATACTTCAGATCAACACATCGCTCAGCCGCGGGCCGGACGGCCACCGCCAGAGAATTATCGTGTAAGGGTGTACCCTATGATGCTGGCTGCCAGGGAGGTGGAGCTGAGAGAGTACCCTAAGCCTTAGCCCTAAGCCCAAAACCCTACACCCATTGCAGCGTAAGCTCCGGACTCTGCTGAAGGAGGGCTCTTCGCAAAGCTTTTCAATCCTGGCCATCTCCATACGACGGTACCCGGTGGCGCATCCAGCACGTGCGACAAGACAACTGCGCGAGCCAGCCGGACGTTTGAAGCAGCGCAATGTTGCACTCGCTTTAGTATCTAGGGCCGCCGCCCCCCGCCCCCCCCCCCCCCGGCTGCCCCCGCCAAACAATTTCGGTTTTTGTGCACCCTCTATCAACGGGAGCCTTGGGGCAGGGCGTCGAGGGTTGAGGGGAATCTGGCCAAGCGTTGAAGCTTGAGGGGTTAAGGTTTCAAGCCCTGGCCGGGGGGGGCTCCGGGTTCATACGGGTAACCGAAACATACTAAAGCGGACGAGGGCAGCTCGTGGGCTACTCCTTTGCAAAGCTGTTTGGAGGCTTGTTTCGTAATCAAAAGGAGATTGTTATAAAAGCCGGCTGCAGGAACTTCTGAATCTGAAGCTTGACGGTCTAAGCTTTCCAGGCTTCCTTGTTCAAAACATTTTTCCGTTTTTGGCGCCCTGACCCCCCCGGGGGAATCCCGAACGACGAACTTCCCATAATCTGGGAAACCATTCTCAGTAGGGGTGTCCCGAATAGTTCTTTCAAAATTTGCATAAATGCGGGTAACGAGACTAAGCGGGTGCAACATCAGAGCCCAGAGTCGAAAGTTAGGGCTGCTATCATAGAGACAGGAGCTCCGCAGCCCACATTACAACCAGGACAGCACGCGGTTCGTGAGGATCTTAAGGTTCAGCTATTTTATCATAAGAAGTACAATATACTTAACTCTTTGACATGAAAGCTTGAGTTCAGCTTCTTAACAAGAAGCCAGGAACTCCAAAGCGACAAAGTCGCTGTTTCCCGGTCCGCCTGGCCTTCTGTGGCAGCACGAAACATGCCAGGTGGGCGTCTGCACTTGGTCAACTTCGCAAAGAAGATCAACAGCATCCTAAGAGTCAGGTGAAGGTAGCAGCCGTGCAGTATACAGTTATGCATCATTCTCGCAAAGCCATGTGGGAGCAGCGCAGGAAAATCCACACGGGAAGCTTTTGAAAACCCTAGCGGCCCTAGCGTTTGCAGAGTGGTCAGCGGCCCCGGGGGCAGCACTACTTCGGCATTGTGCTGCATGTTGAAAGGCACAATCTCCTTGCAAGAAGTCAATGCTTCCACCAAGAAGTCGTGCATTCGCAGGGTCGATGTGTGACCCCACCTTATTGGGGTCGGCAGTCCTACTATGTGGGCTCCATTGTAGGGGTCCCCTATTTTCGTCAACCCACAGTTGCCTCAACAAGTGACAGAAGGTCACCCACGTCAGCGCCCTTGTCGGTACGCTCCTTGAATTCCTCTCAGGGCGCAGTGTAGGAAGACACAAAAGCCGCTTGACGGCTCCTTGCCTCCCCAATTTCACCGGCAATATTTCGGATGTACTCGTGGCCTCAGCCCAATACAAGTAGCTACTGCGAACATACAAGAGCACTGCTCGTTTTTGCCAGTCTCCAAGGCACAGACCCCAGCTGGTGAGGCCTTCTTTCGTTCCTTCCAGCCGGTACTTCAAAGCCTGCCTTGACCTGAGTGTGGGTTTATCTTTTTGGGCTTAAGTTTTAAGTCTTCGGTTGGGTGAAGAAAAAGGGAGCCTTCAAAAAACACCAGCAAGATCCAGCAAGACTCGTGCTCACCACTGAGGGCCCCGCCCTTCCTTCTGCATAGTTGTCGACAGGATGGACAGGACGTCAGCGAAGAATCTCTTTAAGTCGTTCGCCGGCATCTGTCACGGGCGGAGGCGAGTTTTTTGGCCACGGGCGCGGCGCGGCCGCGGATGACGCTTGTTTTGGAGCTTTATTTGGGCTTCGCGCAGGCGTTGGTGGCATCGGACGTGTTGCGGTAGAGCTAGCACGTGCGGGGATCTTTTGCAGCAACAGCGACTGGTTCAACACTGGTATGCTCTGGTTATGTGCTATGGCACTTGCTTTTCAGAATTTGTTCTCCTGCCTTTTGGCCTGTTGCCAATTCAGCGGCACTGAGTATACACGCCGCCAAAGATCAAGAAAACAATGTAAGGCTACGAACGCCGTCAAACCGGTGTCCTTGGCATAGTGCTCCGTCAGCGTGGAGTAGTGAGGCCGCAAGAACTTGAGAGGCTTCGGCACCTAAGCACACAGCAACCAGCAAAGCGGGACGAACTGAGGCGCTGGGCTCTTAGGTGATTGATGGGTCGGGCACAGATGTCATTGAACTTGTTGACTCCTTCAGCTCTTTCACCATTGCCTGGACATCATTCTCTCTCTCTCTCTCTCTCTCGAGCACACATCACCTTACATGAGGCAAGGATGTTGTCTTTATTAGTATCTCTGAAAGGCAACCCACATGTACGCGCGCATAAAGTTAAACACACTACAGCAAACGCTTTCCCACAATGACGGGTTCATGCAGGGCTTGGATGGGCTTGGCTCCATCCTCAAGATTCCTCTCAACCCATCTCAACCCCTTCGCACCCCGCAGAGGCCCGACGACATTCTGCCACTACAGTTGCTGTCATCCAATCCCACAGCTCCGTGTTTTTGCTGCCCCGGAGGAGGTTCGGATAGACGTGCCAAGACCCTTGTGGCGTTGAGCACTTTACTGCTGCTTGCGCTGGTTTCCCCTGAGGTCCAATTGGGGGCACCTCGATGATATGCCGGATCCCACTGTCGAAGGGTGGCGAGGTTTGAGAAATACCTCTGGATGGATCTGTGCCTACTTATGCTGAAGGCCCATTACCTGCCGTATAATAACTCTTGCCTTGCAACTCGGTAACCCTAAACTCTTGGAACCCCAAAAGGCCCCCCAAAAGGCCCTAAAGCAAAAGGCCCCAAAGGCGCGGCCTCCATTGCCATCTTGGCCACGCCCTGGTCGGAGTCCTGAAGCGTGTCGCGATTTTTCGGGCTTGCCCCGGTTTGCCCTGTGCCCAGATGTGACGGCCACTGCAGCAACCTGTTCGGCTTTTTTGAAACCCTAAACCGATTCACGGCCGAGCCATGATGCTACATGGCATCACCGGCATCAAGGTGATGCAGTGTGAAACAGGTTCAACGGCCGTCCGTCATATAGATAGACTCAAGTAGATGCAGAGAATCTCTTCACATGTCCACCAGACGATGCTTCGGGTCATGCCGTGTTTCCTGAGATACCCAACAAGAGAAGATCCAGCACGTGTTAGCCGGATCCTTCCGAAATGCAGGATATTGCAGCTGAGCGACTCTCTGACAGGCGCAGAGTTGCATGAAGCGGGAGATGGTCTGACGGTTCTTCTGCGTTGGGAAATGGCCCATTTGCTGTCTCTTTGTCCTTTGGCAGCTGTTGGCCTCGGGTGCTTCACATCCCAGTCGCCGCGAGTCATGTTGCCCAGCAAGGCTCCCACGAAACCCCAACAGCCCTGAAGCCCTCGCCAGGTTTTGGGTTTCGGGTTTATTGCTTAGTGTGCCTTTGCGCTGGTCTGCCTGCATCTAATGTGCACTCCGATTATGGTGTACGTACACTCTAGGCATTCAGGAAGATTGTCGGCCGATGCTTCCAATTGAGAGCCGGGGCGTTACAGTATCAAATTTAAAGATCAGGCCGCGATGTCACTGAAATTGTCCTGACAGCACTCTGCCAAGAAGCAAGCGACAACTTTCAGACGACCAGGGCTGAACCAAATGTAATCCTTAGTGCGGGTCTTGAAGTAAAAAGGGTCACGCAAGTCGCAAGGGTCTCAAGGTGCCGAAGAGGCAGTCTGAAAAACATGCTCTGCACTGTCTGGGCGTCAAGGGTATCCACGAAAGCCTCTTTGCTCATTCCGGAGAGCGCGTAGTTGGTGAACAGCGGCTCTTGCCCATGGAAGTCCTCCATGCGCATCGAGATGTCGGACGACACTTGTAACTTTGCTCAGCGTGCTGCCGACTGTTTTGCACAGCGTCTATGCGCAAAACTCACTAAAAGTTGTGCCATCCAGTAGCCGGGGCGATCCTTGTAGGCGCTTTTAAGGCCATCGGGGAACTCGACAATGGGCAACTGCTCCAGGCCCAGGACTTCATCCCTGCTGCCCTGCGCCATGTTCACGTTTGGCAACTTCTTCTTAAGCCGCATCAAGTTTGCAGGAAGTGTGTTCAAGGTGTTTTCACGTTTGGCCTGCTTCGAAACGCTGGATACAGAGCCCCCGCTCTCGATCAAATTATAGGAAGAGGTGCCTGAGAAGCATGTCAGATGGCTTCCTTCTCCCTAAACCCTAAACCCTATGCCAGGGGTACCTGGCTTGATGTTGAAATCACCCATCAGCGCGACAGGTGCATCTTGGAAACCTGCCATGAGCTTCGACACATGGGTGATCTTGCACGCACACTTCTGACAGCCCCGTCCTTTCTTGTCATCCGGTGATGCAAACTGTTTCAGCCTGGTCTGAACGCATCCAATCGGTGCAATATGTATCTCACATGCAGCGAGCATGCGTGAGCCATCGATGTCAACCGTGAGCCTGTTCAGCAGAAGCTGGCTGTGAATATTCACCGCTCGAACTTTTTCCGTGGTGCCTGATTAACGAGTGGGTTTGCTGCGAACGCGTGCCAGCTAAAACACCTGCTTCGACATGCAGACAGGATGCCAAAGAGACAAGGCATATGATACGTGGCCGCGCAGAAATCGCACGACGTTCCTCTAGGTCTCAGCCTGACGAAGATGGCCTCGTTCATGCCTCACAGGATCTTACATGCACGCAACGGCCCGCATCCGACATCCAACCAGCTGAAGACCACGGGCCAATCGCAGTCAAGTTACGACCCTGTGCAAGCTTCCACTCTCCTCCCTCAGCGTCCGCTTCCATTTCTGGAGGTCTGCATCCCAAGATCTCCTGACTGCTGAGTGATTTAGAAGATGGCTAAGGCTGTGTTGTGTTTGCTCATGGTGGCTGAAAGCACTTGCTTGCACACGTGTGTCCGTGAGGCCCTGATAGGTGAGGTATCCGAAACGCGCCAGCGGGCCAGAATCCGATTTCGGCCAAACACGCTTCGGGGCTGTGTCGGAGAGCCTGCAAATCTCCACATCCAAGGCCTGGCCGGCTTCGTTGCCATTTTGTTAGGGTGGGTTTATAGATGTTTATAGGGTTTACTGCGGTACTTCCGACATTGGCACCCTGCCAAGTCGGGCTACTTAAAACTGCCAAGAGCCTCAAAGGTCTTCGTAGGCCAAGCCATCATGACTCCCATGTAGCCTGGTATCAACCGTGGAATTGGTGCCAAAATGCAGTGCACAAACATCATCTTGGTAGCCGAGGGGCCGTTCATCTGTTTGCCTGTTGCCAGCATGCAGAATGAAATCTGAGGAGCATCACGCGAGCCCTCTCTCTCAAGTGGGATCGTTTCGTACTGACTTAGGAGATGGCCATACTGAGCAAAGACCACCGCGTACCCACGCTCGGAAAAGAAAGTGTGCAGCTTTCCGGCCCACTCCAGGTCGACTTCCTGCAAGGAGGGTCACCTATCAACAGCCCTTAAGACGAAATCGGAAGAGAGCTGCAAAAGCGCAGCGCTGGTCGGGCGGTTTATGGACTTACAGTTTCTGGGGTTTACGAAAATAGGGGACCCCCCAATATAGTCCCCCAGATAGTAGGAATCTCTTAGAATATGGACCCTGATAAGGTACCTAGTTTCGGAAGCCCCCTTATGTCTTTGCCAGGCAGCATGGCCATTGGTACTTGTCTAGCTGGGCTATTCGTCGAGACAGCTGCCATATTGAATGAAAGTTCCCGCCCTCATGAGCAAAAAGCAACAGTGAAGTGAGACAACCACTTTTTCTATTGCTATCATAGTTAAATACTTTGCTATCATTGTTACACTTATACTTTGATTAATAAGGCTTATGAGGACCCCACGCTGATCCCTACCCCAGCAACCGCTGTCTCGGCCCTTCTTTTCCCATCCTTCTCCCCAGTTCATCCCTTCACTGCTTGGGGCTGCGTAGCTCTTCATGGATGGACTCCAGAGGAGCCCAAGCTGTGTTTGCTCTGTTTGCTCGTATGGACAGGACAGGATGACCAGCATGGCTTGGTCCAGATGACTGCACTAAGCCTAAGATGCCGTACAGGCATCGGACCAGGTACTTTACACATACCTTGCCCCACACAACATACAATACGTAGCGCGGCTCAGGATTATGTTATTACTATTATTATTTTTATCATTAGTATTCTTATTATTATTACAATTATTAATACTGTTATTATTGGGATCTACGCTGCTCGGCCGGCCGGCCTGCAGTGCGATGATCCTCTCGTCGTCGACTGCAGTTTGCATGCGGCGGAGGATCCGCGGCCACCGAGAATCTTTCGCCAAGTCCTGCAAAGAAAAGTGCGAGAGCTCGCTGCTTGTAGCAGCTATTGAAAAATCCCGGGTAAGAGCATCACGCTCAGGCACGTCATGTCCGGACTCGAGCTAATGTGGTCATATGTCCTCGCGAGCATAGGTTGGATACTGCTGCGGCGACGCCAGGCGTGGTGACAGCACATTATACGTCGTGAACTTCAGATCCTTATGGTGCAGTTCAACTGGAGGTTGTCGAAAACTTTGGAAACTCCCAGATCATGTTCAGCTGGCTGCAGGACGGCAGATCGGCAAAGGCAGTATGCCATGTGCAAAGTGTTCCTTGCTATGGCAGACCTTCACAGTCAACAGGTCGTACCTGGTTTAGGGTTTAGGGTTTAGGGGTACCTTTGCAGCTAGATGTTGATGGACACTGCTTCTGCCTGCATAGCCTGCGCACCCTCCGTCGGGCGATCTGCAACCAAATGTTTGTTTAAGGGGGTCCAAGACCCTAAACCCCGAACGCTGTACCTCCCAATCATGTGATATGTGATGCTGCCAGATCATTGCAAGAAGGCCTGAGACCTCGAAGGCTACCACGCGCCGCTGATTTAGCTGATATGGTGAATATTTGCTCAGCACTCGCTGCTGTCTATGTTGCTGGTCGAAGTACCAAGCTTCTCACTTGTGTAGTGTATATATATATATATATGGTACCCCCCCCCCCCCCCAGTGACCTACCCTTTTTCGCCTTGTCTCAAGTCACCCAGCTGCACTGCAAGCAAACTCGGTGTGCAATATAGCGTATTTCCTAGGGCGTAGACTAAAATACAACTAAAATCGCATACGTACACGGGACAGTAGAAAAACCAAAAAAACCAAAACCAAAAAAACCAAAAAAACCAAAAAAACCAAAAAAACCAAAACCAAAAAAACCAAAAAAACCAAAACCAAAAAAACCAAAAATACCAAAAAAACCAATTTTCCGGGACTCTCAGGAAATCCCTATGAGGCTTCTCCAAGAGTCCCGGAAAATTGGTTTTTTTGGTATTTTTGGTTTTTTTGGTTTTGGTTTTTTTGGTTTTTTTGGTTTTGGTATTTTCGGTTTTTTTGGTTTTGGTAGTTTTGGTTTTTTGGTTTTGGTATTTTGGCTTTTTGGTTCGCCTTCACGGTCACGAGGCAACAACTACGCATTTTTAAGTGTGCTTATGCTAATTGTGCTTTTCAGAAATAGTATACAAGTGGTCTTTCTAGTGCTTCAGAGCGTTATTATGTAAGTAGAGCCGCTAGTGTTTAGTGCATCTTTTGGTTGTACTCAAGTGTAGTAGACCTTATTATTCAGCCATTACTTGGTGCTCTGGTAGCTCAATTCGCATGGATAATATTTGCCTGGTAAATGCGATTAATTATCTAGAAGCAGCATTTGCAATACTTGTCTTGAGAAAAAGCATTTATTGCTTAGAATTGTTTGCTTAAAAAGTGACTCCTACTCGTCCAGGAATACCCCAAAACCCTATAATCCAAACTTTACCAGAGATTATCCTGAAAAGCTTGCGCTTTTGGATGTTTTTATGTATTTGTGAATTTGCTTGTGTATGGCCTTCACTAAGTACTTTTCTAGGATTCTTGTGCATTTTTTAAGCCTGATTGTGCAAGTTGCGTTTTTCAAGCATAGTATATATGTGGTCTTTATTGAATACTTCAGACATCTTTGTTTCATCGTTATGTAAGTAGAACCGCTTCTATTTCCATTATTGTGCATTTTTAAGCTTGCTCATGCAAATTGTGCTTTTCAGACATAGTATATAAGTGGTCTTTAGTGAATACTTCAGCAATCTTTGTCTCATTGTTATGTAGGTAGAACCGTTTTCATTTCCGCAAGTGTTTATTTCGTATTTGGTTGAGTATGGTCCTTTAAATAGTATTCACTTGAGTCAAATTGGGCTATTTGCTTAAGAATTCCTCTAGTAGTTAAATTCGCATAGAATGAATACTTCAAAAAAATTGTTTCATGAATATGTAAACATAAGGTGTTTCATTTGACTTTGCAGATAGTACTTCAATAATAATTTGCCTGGTATAAACACAACTGTTTCAATGCATTAGTTGCTCAACAAAGCACTATTTGCCCTTTAAACCACACTTTGCCATATTTTGGTTGAATATGGTGCTTCTTTCGTATTTTGGTTGAGTATGGTCCTTTAAATGGTATTCACTTGAGTCAAATTGGGCTATTTGCTTAATAATTACTCTAGTAGCTAAATTCGCATAAAAATGATTATTTCAAAAATAAAAACGATTCATGAATATGTAAACATAAGGTATTTCAGTGGGCTTTTCAGAGAGCATACTTTGCCTAGTACAAACACAATTGCATAAATACAGTATTTGCACTTTAAACGCACACTTTGCCATTGTTTGGTTGAGAATGGTGTTTATATCGTATCTTGGTTGAGTATGCTCCTTTAAATAGTATTCACTTGAGTCAAATTGGGCTCTTTGCTTAATAATTACTCTAGTAGCTAAATTCGCATAGAACCAAGAAAAATGTTTCACTATTTGATTAATACTTTGCCTCGTACAAACACAATTGTATAAATAAATTAGTTGCTCAACAAAACATTAATTGCCCTTGAAACGCACAATTTGCATAGAAAAAACACTGATCTAAACATCTAAAAACAGCATTGTCCGCTTCAGATTCAAAATGTAGATTCTTTCAATGCTGGCTTATCGGGGTCTGTGAGGTGGGTGTCCCAGTAACTGTCCTTCATTACCCGGTGATTAACTACGCGACTTTTGGGCCTTCTTTGTTGTTTTTTGTTAAAAAGGCCTAAAAAGGCCTAAAAAGGGTAGGTCGCTGGGGGGGGGGTAGCATATATATATATCCGCCGACCCCTAGCAGGGCGGCGTCAGTGAAGACCCATTGCCTCTACCACCTACTCCACCCCATCCAAAGCTCGACCGGCCCGCAGTGCATGCCCGCCCGCTTGCCCTACCCCCACCACCCACGCACCCCGCCCCCCGCTCCTTCCCTTGCCCAAGCCCCCCACGCACCCCGCCATGCTTCTCATGGACCCATGGCTCCTCCCAGCGCATGCCCGCCCGCTTGTCCTACCCCCACCACCCACGCACCCCGCCCCCCGCCCATCCGCCCTTCCCGCTCCGCATACTCCTTCCCTTGCCCAAGCCCCCCACGCACCCCGCCATGCTTCTCATGGACCCATCTTCATCCCAAGCTCGACCGGCCCCCAGTGCATGGCCGCCCGCTTGCCCTACCCCCACCACCCATGCACCCCGCCCCCCGTCCATCCGCCCTTCCCAAAGCCCCACGCACCCCGCCATGCTTCTCATGGACCCATGGCTCCTGGTCCCATTCTTCATCCCTCCAATAAATGGCCCCTGCTCCACCCCCACCCCCAACCCCCCACCCCTGCCCCACCGCCCATGCTTGTCATGGACCCATGGCTCCTGCCACCACCCCCCACCCCCACCCCCTTCATTGGCTCATGGTCCACGGCCCATGGATGTGGCTTCTCAGTTGACTTTAAAGGGCCCCAGTGCATGCCCGCCCCCCTCCGCCCGCTGCCCGCTCCGCCCTCCGCCCTTCCAGCTCCGCCTACTCCCCCCTTGGCCCATGCTCCATCCCCTCGACCTCCCCCGCTTGGCCCGCTTGCTCTACCCCCACCACCCACGCACCACCGTTCCCCGCCCATCCGCCCTTCCCGCTCCCCCCCTGCCCAAGCCCCCCACGCACCCCGCCCGCACGCACCCCGCCGTGGACCCATGGCTCCTGGTCCTGCATGGCTGCCAATGCTGGTCCTAGCATACTCCCCCCTTGCCCAAGCCCCCCACGCACCCCGCCATGCTTCTCATGGACCCATGGCTCCTGGTCCCATTCTTCATCTCGACCTGCATGGCTGCCAACGCTGGTCAAAAAAATGGCCCCTGCTCCACCCCCACCCCCAACCCCCACCCCCACCCCGCACGCACCCTGCCACCCCCAACCCCCAACCCCACGCACCCACACTTCCAACCCCCACCCCCACCCCCCCACGCACCCCGCCCCCAGTGGACCCATGGCTCCTGGCCCCATTGGCTCATGGTCCACGGCCCATGGACTTCTCAGCTGACTTTAAAGGCCCCAGTCCATGCCCGGGCCCTCCGCCCGCTGCGCCCGCTCCGCCCTCCGCCCTTCCAGCTCCGCCTACTCACTCTCCTTTGGCCCATGCTCCCACTCTCCATCCCCTTGATGACCTACCCCTCATGGACCCAGCTCCCTACCCCTTACCCCTCACGCACCCTGAATCGCCGCCACCCATGCCCGTCATGCTCCTGGCCCCCTGGCTCCCCTCCGCCCCTACCCCCACCACCCACGCACCCGCTCCCCGCCCATCCGCCCTTCCCGCTCCGCATACATTCCCCTTGCCCAAGCCCCCCACACACCCCGCCATGCTTTTCATGGACCCATGGCTCCTGGTCCCATTCTTCATCCCTGCTCCACCCCCACCCGCAACCCCCACCCCCACCCCGCACGCACCCTGCCCCGCCGCCGTGCTTGTCATGGGCCCCTTGCTCCTGGCGTCATGGCTCCACCCCCACCCCCAACCCCCACCCCCACACACCCCACCCTTTCCACACTTCCAACCCCCACCCCCACCCCCCACGCACCCAGCCCCTTCCGGGACCCATGGCTCCTGGCCCCATTGGCTCCTGGTCCCATTCTTCATCCCTCGACCTGCATGGCTGCCAATGCTGGTCCTATATATGGCCCCTCCTCCACCCCAACCCCCAACCCCCACCCCCATACCGTACGCACCCTGCCACCCCCAACCCCCAACCCCCACCCCCACCCACCCACACTTCCAACCCCAACCCCCACCCCCCACGCACCCCGCCCCCCACGCACCCCGCCCCCCCACCACAGAACCCATGGCTCCTGGCCCCCTTGGCTCATGGTGCACGGTGCATGGATGTGGCTTCAGCTCCGCCCG